TTCCTTTCTATGTTTACAATAAATTTACAAATTAAGGATCAGTGAAAGATCATATGGACGGCAATAATGTCATTTTATAAGATCTAAACAAATGAGCATATCGCCTATCAAAAATTATCATACGTAAAGGAAGACATGTTCATAGCAAAAACATATGTATCGGAAAGATAAAATGCCTATTTAAGAAAACATCTGGTTTAACTCGAGATAAGGAGACATCTGGTTTAACCCTAACTAGGGGGGAAAACTGTTTTCACTCTAGATAAGGAAACATTTGTTTGCAATAAGCGAATACATTCCATTCTATTGATCATGACGGGCTAAAATTTTTAATCTAAAAAAAAAAAAAAGGAGAGGAAGATGCGCTACCTAAGAGAACAATTTAAAAATATATTAAGGTGTGTCTAACACTCCAGGGAATCTAGGTCTCAGGGCAATTAGTTGCTGTGCTTTAAAAAAAATGCCAGTGAAATGCTCATAAATTAGCTAACAGTCACATTGGGAAATGAGAACCATGTTGGTTTTAAGTAGCCAAATTCCGAATTCGGTAGCGTCTTTTCAGACCGAGAGGAGTGATTAAAAAGGGTAAGCGTTTGTGAATTAAAGCTCATTATGCCTTTTAATAATTTGTTAGTCTGAAAGGACCGGATTCGTTGCCAGTGAGCTGATTAAGAGATTTAAATATGGAGGAATATAGAGAACTGGCTCAATTCAACATTTCCTATACCCAAAGTGAGAAGAGGGTATACTAACATTAATCCCAATAACCAGAAACTCGGATTGTTAAGGATGAAAAATGCAGTCTTGGTTGGTTGATTAGGGAAAAAAAAATATCCAAGCTTATTAAATTTCCACGGGACACTTGGTTATGAATAGATTAAAATTAGCATTAAAAGCAGTAAAATATATAAACATATTGAAAAGGAGACTAAATAACAGCTAAGGATGAAATATTGAGTGAGTCAACGGTTCTCAACTCGGGGCCTCAGGTGAAAAAAATCCTTATGGGGAGGTCATTACATATGCCAATGGGCATATGTCTTTCTTTCTTTCTTTCTTTCTTTCTTTCTTTCTTTCTTTCTTTCTTTCTTTCTTTCTCTCTCCCTCTCCATCCATCCATCTATCTAATCTATCTATGTTGTATCCCACCTTTATTATTTTTACAAATAACTCAAGATGGCAAGCATATCCAATATATTTTCCTCCACCTATTTTCCCCAGAACAACCTCCCTGTGAGGTGGATTAGGGAGAGAGAAAGAGGAAGGGATTGGCTCGAAGTCACCCAGCCAGCTTTCATGGCTCGGGCAGAACTAGCACTCACCGTCTCCCAGTTTCTAGCCTGATGCCTTAACGAGAAGACCAAACTGGCTTTGCAAATACCATCTTGTTGACATAAGATTGAGAAGATTAGAAGGGGGTCACACAGGTGAAAAAAAAATGGAGATGTTGGTTGTATCCTCATATTCCCATAATAGCAGTTGTATCTTTCTGTAATTCTTACCTTCCTGATTGCATGTGATAGAATATCTCTCACGATTCATAGCCAGTTCTCTTTCCCAAGAGATTTCCCAATCTTTCTTTTTGTAAGTTTTTTTCTCTCTCTCTCTCCCTCCCTCCCTCCTCTCTCTCTCAGCAAACACCATTGATCATAAAAGCGGGTTACAACATTCCTACTCTCCTAAAACCTGGTCAAGGCCATGCAGTTGGAAGGCCTTAACCTTTGTTGGGGGTTTTGCCTCCATTTTTGTGGCTTACTTTTTTTTTTTTTTTTTAAATTTGATTTATATGCCGTCCTTCTCCGGAGACTCAGGGCGGCTTACAGTGCGTTAAGCAATAGCCTTCATACTTTTGTATATTTATACAAAGTCAGCTTATTGCCCCCACAATCCGGGTCCTCATTTTACCTACCTTAGAAAGGATGGAAGGCTGAGTCAACCTTGAGCCTGGTGAGATTCGAACTTGCAGTAATTGCAAGCAGCAGATGTTAATAACAGGGCTTTAGCCCACTGTACTACCAAGGCTCTTTTGGCACATTTAATGATGCGTTTGGCCTGGGAAGCTTCCTGGAAGGGCAGCCACCATCCCCATCTACTCTACGTTTGCCTGGGGCAAATTGTCCATGAAAAGAATATTGGTAGCTCAGGATTGAACTGTGGGGTCCTTGTCTCAAATTGCTTTTTCAAAAGGCGAATTAACTTTTTTTAAAGTTTCCCTTCTCATCCAAAAATGCTTCCTCGGTTCTTCAGTGAAGAAGCCTCTTGGATGAGAAGCGACACGTCAAGGAAAAACGAAGGAAGTCCAGCCTGCCTTTTGAAAAAGCACCTTTGGGACAACTCTGGCCTGGATGACGGACAATCTCCACGGACACGTGGGGTCCTTGGAGCTCTCCGAGTTTGGTTGTTTGCTTGCAGACGTTTCATAACCCAACTACGGACCGTCATCAGTGCTAGAAGGGAGTGGGGTTTTCTCTCTGGTTGTAGACGAGTGGTTTGCCCCTGCCAGTGTTGGTGGGAGTGGCCTCAGTTCAAGATGAGAGAGTTTGTAAGAACCTAAGTCGAGGAGAATAGTGTCTGGCAGTGTTTTGCAACTTTTAAGATGTGTGTGGACTTCAACTCCCAGAATTCCCCAGCTAGCATGTGACCTAAAGGGCCGTTTAACCCTTCCATCGCTGCTCAGGCAGAATATCAGGAGGGGAAAAAAAAAAAACCCCATCTGACCTTCCAGATGTTGCCAAACTATATTTCCCAGCAACTCAACCAGTGTTGAGGGATCTTGGGAATTGTAGTTCATTAGTGTCTTAATCCCAGGTGCAAGGAAGGAACTAGGCGTCTAAAAAACTCGGTCAAGGGGGGGTTGAGTATTGACGGATCTCTCACTTCATTGAGCAGAAATAAATCTTATTTATGGAGGCGTTGGATAGCAAAGCCTCCTTCCTGTTAGGCTCAGGGCAAGGATGAAGGATTTCCAGGGCAATTGGAGAGCTTTGGGTGAGACGGTAGAAGGAGATGTTTGCAGAGTTCCAGAGATATTTGCCTTGTTATGGCTCAACGGAGAAGCTCCTTGGTAATATGACTCATAACATCTCCTGACTTGGCAGTTTCTGAGAAGCCAAGAAACCAGAAATATCTTAATTACGAAGCAATTTGAAGGCTTTCCTAGAAGTCTCGTGCTGAGCTTAGGGGCGGATGGGTGGCCTGATTCTTTGGATAGACTCTCTATTGATTTTTTTCGGATTTTTAACTTGGGAACGCTGCGTTTTGGCAATACAGGTAGTCCTCAAGTTACGGCAGTTCATTTAGTGGCCATTCAAAGTTACAGCGGCACGGAATAAAATGGCTTAGGACCATTTTTCACAGTTTACCGCCTTTCCCCCCCCATGGGTCGTGTCATCAAAATTCCTATGTATGGCGACTGATTCATATTTACGACGGGCGCTGTGTTCCAGGGTCACGTGATCCCCTTTTTTGCGACCTTCTAACCAGGAAAGTTGATGGGGAAGCCCGGATTCACTTAACAACCGGGTTACTCGCTTAGCCACGGCGGCGATTCACTGAACAGGTGTGGCAAGAAAGGTCGTATAATGGGGGTAAAACTCACTTCACAACAGACCTTTTGGGCTCCGTTGTGGTCGTAAGTCAAGGACCACCTGTCCTTGGAGTGGTAGCCTGGAGAATTGGAAGTGTTGTTCCGCAAAATTCCCCGTGGATTGTAAGCTGCTCTCTGCTTCTCTTCATTTATTTATTTATTATTTATTAATTAAATTTCTATACCGCCCTTCTCCAAATAGGACTCAGGGCGGTGCACAGCCAAAGTAAAAAACAGAGCATACAAAATTTAAAAACAGTATTAAAATAATTAAATATTTTGGCCATAAATTAAAACAACCCAATTTAAAATCAATTTAAAATTTAACTCAAGCCAGCCCAGCTAGTTGAAATAAATAGGTTTTCATCTTTTCTGCAATTCTTTCTCTACACAGGAAGGAGGATTGACACCGAGGAACCCATATAGTGCTATCGGTTTTAGCCAACTGATGGATGGAAGACCACAAGGAAATCCCCATTTCCTGTTGGTTTTTCAATAACTTAAAAAAAACAAAAAACAAATCTTAACACACAATGAATGCTCCGGCATTCTTGCCAAGAAAACTACCGGACTTTTCGGAGTATAAGACACACTTTCCCCTCCCCCCCCCAAAAGAGGGTGGAAGTGTTGGTGCGTCTTATACACCAAAAACAGCCATTTTGGGCCTCCCGAAACCCCGCCCTGTGTGTCCTGTTTTTGTGCGTTTTATACTCCGAAAAATACGGTAGCTCTTACTGGGGGTCTGTGGTAAGTTCAAAGAGGAAAAAAATTGGAAAACAAGCAAAGTATGTTATGAACGAAGGCGGATATACGTGTTCCAGGATAATGTTAGAATAGAATAAAATGAATGAGCTGGAAGGGACCTTGGAGGTCTTCTAGTCCAGCTCCCTGCTGAAGCAGGAGAACCTGTACCATGTCAGATGAGTGTCTGTCCAGTCTCTTCTTAAAAACCTCCAGTGATGGAGCGCCCACGATTTCTGGTGGCAAGCTGTTCCACGGGTTAATTCCTCACTGTTAGGAAGTTTCTTCTTCATTCCAGGTTGCTTCTCTCCTTGATTAGTTTCCAACCATTGTTTCTTGTCCTGCCTTCTTTGGTGCTTTGGAGAATAATTTGACCCCCTCTCCTTTGTGGCAGCCCCTCAAGTAGGAGCCAGTCTGGGTCAACTATGATCCAATCTGTTGTAGGATCCAATTTGGGTCGGTCACCAGGAACCAGTGGTTTTATCTTCCAAGCTTTTGGAATCATGCTGGTTCAAATCCCCGAGGATGGGCTCCAGCATGAGTCCGAAAGCTCGGAAGACAGAACTTCTGGTCCAGATTGAATCCTGCAAAGTACGAGATATCTTTTTTTTATAACAATTACACTGGGGAAGGCGTGAAGACTGATTCTTTTTTCCTTGTCTCCTGTTTCTAGAACAACCCGAGCGACTGCTCCGTTTCCTAGCCCAGCCCGTTGACCAGAAAGCATCTACCGATGGCGGAGAAGCGGATTTTGGAAGCCGTGAGCACCATGAGTTACGGCAAGCTCCCTCGACTGGAGATGGACCCAACCCACGTCCTCCCGGTGGGTTTGTGCCGCTCGAGTAGGCTGCCCGACCTCCCCATGGAAGACCATTACAGTTATAAAGGCTCCTATTTTACTTTCCCGCTCCAGTGCCACGAAGCGCCCAAAACTTTAACTCACTGGTCGGCTGCCGAGAACTACAGCCATTGCCCGGCCAGTGCGCCTGGCCACTCTCCAAGGACAGAAAAAGCTACCTGCCAATCTGAAATGGAAGGTTTGAAAGCCCGCCAGAGATTTCCGGGTTCTGAGAAGGTCAATGAATGTATCGCCCGTGAACGGTGGGCCAGCTACGTGGGTCATACGGGCGTCATCCAGCAAGGTTGGCTCCAGGGATACCCAGCCCAGCAGCTCCCTCCAGCTCCTGCTGCTTGCTCCACTTTGGCAGCCCCCAAACCGGTTTACCGAAGCCACGCGTACGGGACGGATTCGGGCTGCCCTCCCAAAAGGGCTCTGACCTTCCGAATGCAGATGGAGAACTACTCAAAACGTTTGGAGTGGTCTTCCCCGTCCTCCGTGTTGCCCACTGGTGCCGAGAGTCACGGTTACGGCACAGCGGGATCCAAGAAAACCTTGGCGGCCGAGAACAGCGCGGTGCAGTTGCGACAAGGGTCCAAAGAGGGCGCTGTTCACTCAGCTGGCTTCATGCCTTACCATAAGTCATTGGAGAAATGCCAGAGGACGCAGAATGGCTCTTCCTTGGATGCCACTTACCCTTCTGTAAGTCAGAAAAGCAACTTGGAGTCCCCAGCGGGTAGCAATTCCAGAAAACACATGTGGTCCAGGCCACCGCCGTCACCTCTTCCTCCTCCTCCTCCTCTTCATCCTTCCAGCTTGCTGGTGAATCGCCAGGACCTGGCGTACCAGGAGCAATCCCCCTCATGCTACCCTCTAGGATCGTATCCTCTGACTTCTCACGAACAGATGTTGTTGTATCATCAGAGCTACGTGCAAGCCGAAAAAACAAACTCGGTCTTTGCTTTGGCGGCCTGCAAAGGTTTTGGGTCTCCATCAAGCCGTGAAGATGGCCAGATGTTCCCCGGGTCATATTTTCAGCAAACCTCTCACAGCTATTATCCCGGGCATCTGGAGAGCTACCTTTACCAGGCGGTGGGCCCACCTCCATTGACCCCCTCTGAAGAGCTTCACTCTTCAAGGGAACACGAGCACCCACAGAACGCGACGGCCAAGGTGGACTTCACCCCAAAGACTCCTGTTTCTGCCTGTGCTGTGCCTGAAAAGCCTGCTCCAGCTTGTAATCCTTGGCGCAGCCGAAGTGGCCTTCCAGACTGGTGTGAGAGTAGCTGTGTTGCAAGAGAAGCCAGTACAAATTCTTCAGGTCTACAAGCTTTCCCTTCCATTCATCCAGTAGACCGGCTATCTCATAGTTACAACAGGGTTGAAAAGACGGAGGAAAACGGTTGCAAGAAGGATCTTTTCCCGCCAGAAAAGGTGACAGAGGAGAAGGAGGAATCTTCCAAGACACACAAAAAATTCTCCTTAACTTACGAATCTAGGAAGAGGAGCATCACCCCTCACAAAAATGAACCGGGGAGCTGCATAATGATTCCTGATAGCCCGATTGTCTCCCACAATCCCTACTCCAAACCAGCCCTGCCCAAAAATGTTCTGAAGACCCCCAACATCCAGTCTACACCTCATGGACATTGGTCCCCAGAGGATCAACCGAAGGGACTCCATGAACGGCGTGAAGGTCCCTTGACGTCTTCTCCTCCCATGCCTGTCATCAACAACGTCTTCAGCTTAGCTCCATACCAAGCCTACTTAGAAGGTTCTGCCGATTTGGTGGAACTGGACACCGCTAAACGTTGTCAGGCCGAGGAGTCGCTTCCCAAAGGCAGAAGCAAGAGTGTGGAAAATGGATTTGTGCCATGGACAGGCTCTCAAAGATCAACCGGAGAATGCAGGCTGGATCTGCCGAGGGAGGAAGGGTTCCCTCGCAATACCGTAATGAAAAGTGGAGATGCTGACGTCAATAAAAACAGTCTCCCAACAGGGCAAGGGGGTGGAGATTATGCTGGCCCTTGGGAAAGCTTCAAGGCCAAGCTTTTGAATCCAACCGATCCTGCGTCTTGCCAACCATCCTCTGCCAGTCATTCCAAAGATAGAGTTGAGAGACTTACTCAAGAAGACCATGTCTTGGACCTCAGTTTTAAAACTGAAGACTTGGTGGCAGAACGACCTGATCTTCCACAGCTGCCCAAAAAGGCTGAGGCTCCAGACGCTGGAGGTCCAAAGATCCAAGGTGAAGAAGTCAAAGAAAAAGCAGCCGACAGCCAGGGCTCCAAGGCAAATGGAGAGACCTCGGTGCTGCCCATCAACAGTGATTCTAGAGGCAACCGGCATTTTCACAGCTCCGCGGCGTTTCTGTTCAAGAAATTCAAAATCCTAAAAGCTCACGCGGCAGAAGCTGCCTCTGGAGGGGTCAAGGATGTCTCTCCCCCAAAACGGACTGACACACAGGTAAATCAGCCAAACAGCCCCTTGGTTGGGCCCAGTCTTCCCCAGAGTGTGACGCCATCCTCCGAAACTCTGATTTTGCAGATCAAATGCTTGAATGCTCAGTTGCCCAATGCTTCAACGCTCTTATCTCCTAGTGTCCCTCCTGGCTCTTCTCCTGCCCTTAGAGAGATCCAGGTTCTGGATCCCGCCACTGAAAAACTTCTTGGTCAGCAGAAATATTCACCCAGGCAATATTTCACTGTGGTGCATACCTGTGTCTGCACTATAATATCTGGCGTGGTGTCTACCTCCTCCCCTGACCAACTCAAGGAATGGCTGGAGATGGCCGAGCCCACCGTGGAGCTGCAGGAGAAGACCGTCAGTTCCACCAAACCCAAAAATGGTTCAAAGGTCTCTGAAGGCCCCAAGCTCTCCAAGGGCAAAGAGATCTGGTTGGCCTTTAAGGGCGTAGAGGTGCTTATCAAGAAGCTGCAATCTCAACTGGAGATATTCCTGCTCTATAATAAGTGTCCTTTTCCTCACGTGATGCGTGCTGGTGCTACCTTCATCCCTATTCATGTGGTGAAGGAGGAACTCTTCCCCAATCTTCCTGGTGTGTTGGTTGACCATGTCTTGCAGGACCACAAGGTGGAACTGCGTCCTACCACCTTGTCTGAAGAGAAGGCGTTGAGGGACTTGGACCTCAAGAGCTGTACTTCTCGGATGTTGAAGCTGCTGGCCTTGAAACAGCTGCCGGACATTTACCTGGACCTCTTGACCCTTCATTGGCACGAGTGTGTCAAGGAGCAGCTTGGTAAGGGCAGACAATTGGCCTTCTTTAGAAACTTTTTAAGAATTGAACTGAATATAGTATGTTCATCTTGTTCTCCTTCTTCTCTTCTCTGTCTTGCAAAAAGTATGATTTTCCTGGGCTTTGGTCACTGCACTTTCCCACTTGCATGGACACAGCTTTGGTTGGTCTTCCCTATAGATGTGGGTAGAAAATTGACATAGTGGTCAGGATTGATGCCCGAGACAGAATTCAGCGAATTCTACAAAGATTGGTGGGATCCTGCTTTCTAAATGGGGAAAGGACCAGGAAAAGGGATCTTAAGAGAGTAAGTAGGCTGTGCTTAAACCCTAAAGGGGAGGATGTCCTGAGACTGTTGGCAAAGAAGGCATGGAATTGAGTGCCTGTATTTATGGGCAAATGACTCTGATGTACAGAGAGTCCTTGACTTATGACCATTCTGTTTAATGGATTTTCAAAGTTACGATGGCGCTGAAAAAAAGTGATTTACAAGTGAGCCTCACACTTATGACCATTGCAGCGTCTACATGTTTGTGCGACCAGCATATATTTAAAATGGTTGCAGTGTTCAGGGGTCATAGGATGACCCCTTGCATCCTTCCCAGGGGACTTCTGACATGCAAAGTCAATGAGCTGGGTCCTTTCAATGACCATGGCCAAAATTTAGGCACGGCTCATTTAAATATCACATCGCTTGGCGAGAGAAGTTTCTGTTCCAATTGTGGTCGTAAGTTGAGGACTACCTGTAATTCAGAGGTGAAGAACCTACCGAGATCTGTAATTCAACATATTTCTTCCCTCTGTTGTATCCTGTTAGCAGCTGTTTGGCTCGGGAACCCTGGGAGTTCTAGTCTCAGTTTAGCTGGAGGGTGCTGTATTAGAAAAGCTGGCGGTGGAGAGCTTTGGGCAAGACGGAATGTTAGGTACCGTTGCCCACATCGCATGTACACACCCACGCACCCACGCTCGCTTTCATTAGCTCTGACCAACTGTCCCCCACCAGCCAGTGTCATTTCAGATGATTCTCGACACCTTTATTTTTTCCAGGTCCAAGTTCACAGGCGCGCCTGCACACCTCCAAGTAGGTATCCGTTCTTTGTGTGGGTGCGTCTTGCTCATTGCTGCTGGGTTTAGTTGGAGTTGTGGAAGGCCTTTGGGCACAGGTTGAGGTGGTAGGGCTTCTTGCGATCTTGCCAGCTAGCTGCGCTGCTCCGGTGCTGTAATGGTATGTGGGAATGGCCTTGGGGGACAGGAGGAAGAGCTGCACATTAGGCAATGGACAGATATCGTGTTTCCCCCAAAATAAGACCGGGTCTTATGTTAATTTTTGCTCCAAAAGATGCATTATGGCTTATTTTCCTGCTAGGTCTTATTTTGCGGGAAATACAGTACTAAACTCCTCCGTCTGCTGACAATATTAACTGTGGCTTATTTTTTGGGGTAGGGCTTATATTACGAGCATCCTGAAAAATCATGCTAGGCCTTATTTTCCGGTTGGGTCTTATTTTCGGAGAAACAGGGTAGGAAGAGGCAGATTAACTCACAGAAGGAATGGAGCCAGTCAAACACCTCAAAAAAAAGTTTATCAGGCTGCAGAAACGAGGGGGGGGGGAAAGAGATGTTCTTTCAAGACTTGCAAGGTAGATAGAGGTTATCCCTGCGAGGTAGTCCAGATGGGAAGCACCACCCAGGAGTACCAATGCTGTCTTTATTCTAAGGCTACATTAACGGAATCTTGCAATGCTTGAATTTTGTAGACCAGTGTTTCTCAACCTTGGTAGCTTTAAGATGGGTGGACTTCAACTCCCAGAACCCCCAGCGGTGCTGGCTGGGGGATTCTGGGAGTTGAAGTCCACCCATCTTCAAGCTACCAAGGTTGAGAAACACTGTTGTAGACCAATGATGGTGAATCTTTATAGACTAACCAGTTGATGTAATGGTATTTGGAAATGACCTTGTCAGACAGGAGGAAGAGCCACAGACAAGGCAATGGTTGGAGAAGAGGCAGCTGGTTCCACGGAAGGAATGGAGCTGCGTAAACATCTCAAGAAGTCCAGAGTCCCTACCTCATTTCTTAGACTTTAAAGACACGGGGGAAGAAATGTACGTTTAGAGAATCTGTAGAGATTTTTCAGTCATCCAGCTCATGGTTGTCCCAAAGGTGTTCTTTTTGACAGGAGGCAACTGGACTTCCTGGGTTTGTTTTTTTTTTCTTTTGAAGATGTTTCGCTTCTCATCCAAGAAGCTTCTTCAGCTCTTGACAGAATGGTGGGGAAGGGAAGGATTTATACTCCTTGCAGACAGCTGGTCCTTTGCATCCTTTTTTGAGGGTCGTTGAAACCCTTAGGAGGTTTATCTGTGCTTTCAGGGTTACCCAAGTGGGGCTCCTGGTACTTTCAGACTTGCAAGATTCTGTTAAAGTAACCTTAACAATAAAGAGAGAGCTAGCATTTCCTGTTTCTGCTTCTTGGCAGGACGACCTCGCATCAACCGTACAGGCCCCTTCCTTTTTTCACTTTTACTGTCCTCAAACTAAGGCGGTTCCCCTTCTGAGTCACTTTCTCCTCCTCCTTCAGGCTCGGATTTTGTTTATCAGACAGTTGTCTAGGCTGCGTCTCTTCCTCCTGTTTCCCAAGGTCATTCTCCTATGCCATTACAGGTGCCTTTTGTGGAAAACAAAAGCCTTGGAGGTTAGCAATTATAGCGAGACAGGACTGAAGGCGCTCCTGAAGGACATTTCGAATGGCGCATGATGCTCCCGTAAAACCAGAGGCAAGCCTGAGAGCATCTTGTCAGCAAATAGTGGGGCTTTATTTCCTCTTTTTTGGTCCTTGGCTTCCCTGGGTTAAAAGGAAGAGCCTTGGTAGTACAGTGGTTTAATGCACCCTGTAATTAACACAGCTGCCTGCAATTTCTGCAGGTTCGAATCTCTCCAAGGCTCAAGGTTGACTCAGCCTTCCATCCTTTCTAAGGTAGGTTAAATGAGGACCCAGTTTGTGGGGGCAATAAGCTGACTTTGTATAAATATACAAAAGGATGAAGGCTATTGCTTAATGCATTGTAAGCCGCCCTGAGTCTCCGGAGAAGGGCGGCATATAAATCAAATTTAAAAAAAAAAAAAGGCATCTGATGTATAGAAGAGCAATGTCTGTTCTGATTTTGGATGGATAGAAAGAGATAGGTAGATAGTAGATAAGATAGACAGATAGATAAGAGAGATTAGATAAAGTAGATACATAGATAGATTAGATAAAATAGATTAGATAAAGTAGATACATGGATTAGATAAAATAGATTAGATAAAGTAGATACATGGATTAGATAAAATAGATTAGATAAAATAGATTAGATAAAGTAGATACATGGATTAGATAAAATAGATAGTTTAGATAAAATAGATTAGATTAGATAGATAGATAAGAGAGATTAGATAGATACATAGATAAAATAGATAGATAAAATAGATTAGATAGATAAAATAGATTGGATAAAGTAGATAGATAGATAGATAGATAGATAGATAGATAGATAGATAGATAGAGATGATGATAATGGTAAGAGGGACAGAGAGCGATAGGAGAGACGGACAGACAGAACAATGCAATTGGGCTACAATGTGATATCTCCTGGAGCATCAGAAGAGGTGAAGGGACTTCTTGATTAAGACAACCTTGGAGAATTTGGTGTCTTCTTCAAAATGTGTGTTGAGATTATACTTCCTTTTTCTGGAATTCTGGAAATTGTAATCCCAACACATCTGGAGTTCTTGGTTTTGTTAAGAACTCTGAGATGAAGAAATCTTTTGGGATGGGGACATCACCCAAGAATCCCCAAATCCATCATCTGAAATGAAGCGAGTCTTAGAAGTTGTCTGGTGGGATCCATTTTCCCTTTACAACAGTTTTGGATTAGTTGGAGAATGGAAGAGAGTTGTTGAACTGTTGGAAGAAGAGTTTAGGATCTCAACTGTGAACAGTATTTTCTGAATGAAGATAGTCATTCAGTTGATTGTTCTTGTGCTTTTCATTTTCCCAGAGGATCCTGCGAAGTCGATCCCAAACAGAGAAGTTGAGGCGTTAGGAACAGATGCAACCACCGAGTCTCTTGACCAGGACTTCCCAGAGAAGAGCACCAAAGGCAAAACATGTGGATTGGCAGCCTGTTTTGGGACTACGTCCTTGCATTATGAGACTATCCAACCAGAGGATAAAGAGAAGACCCTGGCCAGATGTTCATCACCTTCCCTACAACGTGGTTGTGTGCTAAAGGGGAGGAAGGTGCTTCCTAAGGAAGACGCAGCCTTGGAGACCAAGGGACTCACTCTTTGCCCTGGTGCTAGGAGGCCATCCCATAAACAGCCAAGGACTCTTGAGCTTAAATTGACTGCGAAGGTCGCTAGGAGGACAACCAGAGCTTCCAAGATCCTTCACCTCCGGAAATCCGTGGTTCACATCCAATTCCAGAATGCTCTTCAGGACATTCAAGGACCTCAGATTCTTGGTCCTTCAGGGAAGGGGAAGAAAGTCCCACCACCGCTCCTCCTAAAGCGTTTCAAGCATCGGAGACACAGTCGTGCCAAGGTTTCTTCCTTGCCCTCCGAGTATCCAGAACTTGTTGGGAAGAGGATCAGGCACTTGTATGAGGAGAAGGACAAGACAGAGGCCTGGTATCAGGGCGTGGTACTTCGTGTTCACAAGCCCCACAAGAACCCTTTGAAGACAGTTTATGAGGTGAAATATGATAGTGAGCCAGAGTGGCAATATTACCTCGAGATTCTGCAGGATTATAAGAACGGTTGGGTGGAGCTGGATGAATGAGTAGATGGGTGTGGGTGTGTTTGTGTGCTTGTGTGTGTCAAATTGAGAGAGAAGAGGGGAGGTTTGATTCATCCGGCTGTCTTGTCGACACAGCTAAAACTATCAACGGGCTTTTCTACATCTCGCACAGCTTCATCCTGAGACACGTTGGCTTAAGTTGACTTGGACCCGATTCAGATCATCATCTTGTGGTCCTCACCACCTCAGGGCTCCATAACACTTTCCAGAAACCACACGATGGGAGTAGCTTTCAAGGTTTGAACAATGTTTTGAACCACAGCTGAGCTGGGTTTACAGAATGACTTCCTGTTGTCCCAACTGACACCAGAAGTGAAATATGAATCTTACGGTACATTTTACAGATCTTCTCCATGGGTGGGGCTCTCAGGACATCCCAAGAAATTTCCCTGGTGGGCCCCATCCCCTGTCCTGAAATCCAGCTTGTTCCAGAGGTAGCGAGTTTGTTCAATTCCTAGAGTGTCTTTAGAATGACGCTTGTCCAAGGGCATTATGGGATAGCCATGATTTACGTTGCTAAGCAGGGCAGTTGTTATAATCGAGTCACGTCTGATTCCACCACCTTATTGCTGTGGTTGTTAAGTGAGTCACTGCAACTTTTTAAGTGAACCCAGCTTCCCTGGTTGTCAGATTCATTTAGCGACTGTAGGCTTCGCTTAAGAAATGTAGAAGGGGAAAAAAAGGTCATTTAACAACCACCTTCCTTAGTGACAGAAATCCTGGTCCCAATTGTGATAGCAACTCAAGGACTACCTATATAGGCCTTTTTTTAAAAATAAAAAAAAAAGAAAGAAAGAAAAATTCAACTTGAGGAAGTCCTGTAAGCCCCCAACCCACTTGATGAAATACAGTTCAAAGAAAACTACATTTTTCCCTCTATTTATATAAAAAAGGACCTGTATTTTTTAACAAATGACACGACCAGCTTTATACACTTAAAACCGTGGAACCAAACCACATCTGTATGTGTTTCAGTTTTGATTTTTGAAGGGCTGTGCTGTTTCCCCCCAACCCGAGGGGCATAAATATGGCACATTTTAGAAATGTGATTTATTTTGCCTTTATAAGGAATTGCTGCTGGTTTCAAGGGTGTTTTGACTTTCTTTTCAAGATAATTTTTTTTATAGACTACCTGTTGGAGACTTTTGTCCATGACCTTGGTAAATGTAATTTTCAATACCTGATTGATGTTCAGTTTAAATGACTTTTTTTTTTGAAGCTCCAAGCGCTTACTATGCCTTAACAAGAAAAAAAAGAAAGAAGGAACGGGAAGGATAAAACATGGATAGTTCACGCTCCTTTGCAGGCCCACAGGTCAAAATAATAATAATAATAAAAAGAAGTTCATTTCTGAGAAATGAAGCTTGGAGAATCAAAACGAAGAAGAGCAGGGAAGAAGAAAAAAAAATATTGAAATATTTCTAAAAGCACCTGCAGGTTACTGTATTTTTCGGAGTATAAGACACACCTTCTTCTCCCTAAAAGTGGGTGAAAATTTAGGTGTGTCTTACAGACCGAATATGGGCGTTTTTGACCTCCTAAGCCCCCAGAAGCACTCTGCAGGCCAAAAACGGGTCCATTTTTGGCGAAAACAAGCCCGTTTTTGACAAAAAAAATAAAATAAAAAATGGGCCGTACGGAGCACTGCAGAGAGCTTCTGGGAGCCTGGGAGGGCAAAAACTATTTTTTTTTCTTGTTTTCCTCCTGTAAATTTAGTTGCGTCTTACAGTCCGAAAAATACGATAGTTTCTAAAAAGCTGAAATGAGCTGGGGACAAGTTTGGAGGATGTTCCTCTCCTATTTTGCATCATATATGTTGAACACCAGGAGAGATGAGCTTGTGGGGGCACCTGCTCGACAGGTCCATTCCACCAATTCTGGCCAAATTGATAATAAGAGAAAGAATCGATGTTAGTTTTACAAACCGAAGAAGGCCTCATATATTTTGAATGTACAGCTGGTGCAGTTTGGATCCTTTTTGCTCCGAGGATGGTTGTGTGTTTCCACCTGCTTGTTTCAAAAGTTGTGTGTGTCTCTATGTCGAGCGTGCAAAAGCCAGATGGGGTGGGGTCCTTTTCCCTGTCCTTGCTCCCCTTCCTCCCAGGCGAGAAAGCAAAATGAAGACCGATTGTGCCCTGCTCTGCCAAAGAGAAACGAATGCATCATACTGTAAAATGTTGTACATAAACCGGGGAGCCTATTTTTGCCTTTTTATTTAATTTTTCTCTCCCTCCCACCCCCCCCCCACCTTTTTGGTCGGGATGCAGTTTTTAAGAGGTGCTTCATTAAAATTAAAACCACCGTTTTGGAAGTGGTGACTTCGCGGCTTCTCTTTCTGTCTCCGTCGATTGTTCCCTCGGAAGCAAAGCTCGGCGGTACCAGTGCCAGTCGGTTTGAGAAACCTACCCAAGGGGCTAGGAAAGTAGAGGGGGGGGGGGCTTTCCTCCTTCCTCTTGTGGGTAACGTCTCCCGTCTTCCTGACGTTTGGGAATTAAAATTGGTCCTTGATCAACTGGTCCCTGAATTCACAGAAGCCAACCACTCCCTCTGGGAAAGGTGACCTCTGAATTTATCAAAGCTAATGGTAATTATTTCTTTCATTCATTGATATCCTGCCATTGTTTTTATAAACAACTCAAGATGGCGAACATGCCTAATATTCCTTCCTCCTCCTGTTTTTCCTCACAACAATCCTGTGTTGTGCTAAAAGTGGGACTGGCCCAAAGTTATTCAGTCATGCCTAAGGCAGGACTAGAACTCACCGTCTCCTGGTTATTGCCTCAAAGTCACCCAGCCAGCTTTCATGCCTAAGGCAGCACTAGAACTCACCGTCTCCTGGTGATTGGCCCAATGTCACCCAGCCAGCTTTCATGCCTAAGGCGGGACTAGAACTCCCTGACTCCTGGTGATTGGCCCAATGTCACCCAGCTGGCTTTCATGCCTAAGGCGGGACTAGAATTCACCAAGTCCTGGGGATTGGCCCAAAGTTATTCAGATGGCTTTCATGCCTAAAGCGGGACTAGAACTCACCCTCTCCTGGTTATTGCCTCAAAGTCACCCAGTCAGCTTTCATGCGGCACTAGAAGTCACAAGTCTCCTGATGATTGGTCCAATGTCACCCAGCCAGCTTTCATACCTAAGGCGGGACTAGAACTCACGAGTCTCCTGGTTTCTAGTGCTTTAACCACTAGACTAGACTGGCCTTACTGCTAAAAAATGATTTAACAGTGGAACAGACTTCCTTGAGAGATGGACTGGAGGTGTTTAAATGGCTTTTAGATGGCCACCTCTTGGGACCCCGTAGGAGTCTGTTTCTGCACTGGACAAGGAGGTAGGTAGGACTCCATGATATCCAAGGTCTCTTCCAATCTATAATTTATGGACTAAATGGACCTTTGATGAGAATTATTTATAATCACTTATAAATGGCCAACCAGCCAGTTTGGTCTAGTAGAGAAAGCACCAGGTTAAAAATCAGGAGACGGTGAGTTCTAGTCCTGTTTTAGGCATGAAAGCTGGCTGGGTGACATTGATTGTAAAGAGACGGTGAGTTCTAGTCCCACCTTAGCCATGAAAACCGGCTGGGTGATTTTCAGCCAATCGCCAGGAGACAGTGAGTTCTAGTCCCACCTTAGCCATGAAAGCTGGTTGGGTGACATTGGGCCAATCACCAGGAGACTGGGAGTTCTAGTCCCACCTTAGCCATGAAAGCTGGCTGGGTGACATTGGGCCAATCACCAGGAGACTGGGAGTTCTAGTCCTGCCTTAGGCAAGAAAGCCAGCTGGGGGGATGGGCTTTCTCTCGGCCCAACCCACCTCACCAGGTTGTTGTAACAGTAACAGAATTGGAAGGGACCTTGGAGGTCATCTAGTCCAACCCCCTGCCCATGCAGGAAACCTATACTAGGGATTCGAACTGCCGACCTGACCTTTCTCATCGACAAGCTCAGCGTCTTCGCCGCTGAGCCACGTAGATGAAAAGAGGAGGAGGAGGAAGCATTAAGTATGTTTATAAAAATAATAAAGGTGGGGTTTGAATAAATCAATCTTAAAATATTTCTCAAATTCCTCCGAAGAGCTAGGTTTGCCTGTCGCAGCAAAAATCCATCTTTCACGGGCCCCTGACAGCTTTAAACCCTTAATAGTGGGTTACAAGTGGGTTGTTATTGTGAGTGTAGTTTGTATTCTTGGCCTGGAGGCCAAGTGAGGAGGGGAACGGAGGAGGAAAAAGAATAAATGATGAGGTCAAAGGGAAGCTTAGGAGATGCAGACAATCAGTACAGATTAACAACCATTCACAAAAGATTTATGGTCCTGCTAGGGAATTGCTTGCAGCTATTAACACTACCAAGATAAGAACTTTGTCTCTGCTCAATCCCAAACATGACAATGAAGCCTTTAGATGTATTCAATATATATATTTTTTTTAAAAAACACAAGCCAATTTGCTTAAGTACAGAAAGGAACCAGAACTTAAATACAAAGCCTTTTCTCCCAAATTCATCCTTCCAGTCCTTTAAATTTCTTTAGATCTTCATCAACTCCGCCATCTTTGTTAAAACTTTTTTGAGTTGTTTTTTTTTTAATGGTTCCAAAAAAGGACATTCCAGGATATCTACTTGAGTATTTCCCTTTGTTACTTCTAAACTACTGGATGTCTTAGCTGGCCTGTGTAAGAGTGACAAAAGTTTGGCTAACTTTTTTTAAATGGGGTTTGGCATTCTTTGTCCCTTGGACTGCAAGGCGATCCAACCGGTCAGTCCTAGAGGAGATCAACCATGACTGCTCTCTAGAAGGCCAGATCCTGAAGGTGAAACTCAAATACTTTAGCCACCTAATGAGAAGGAAGGACTCACTGGAGGAGAGCCTAATGCTGGGAAAGATTGAGGGCAAAAGAAGAAGGGGACGGCAGAGAAGGAGGTGGCTGGATGGAGTCACCGAAGCAGTCGGCGTGAGCTTAAATGGACTCCAGAGGATGGTAGAGGACAGGAAGGCCTGGAGGAACGTTGTCCATGGGGTCACGATGGGTCAGACACGACTTCGCAACTAACAACAATTCTTTGTCCCTCCTTTAATGTTTCTTAACCTGTTTCCACTTTTATTTTTTTAATAGAATTATTGTTTTGGATTCTTCAATCGAGATACGTTATTTCAGAAAGCATGTCAATATAGAAGCAAATAATGGCAAGCTTTCCTTTATAATTTTTTAAAGAAGGTAAACGTGAACACGAATAGGGAGCAAAAGCAGTAAAGAAAATGCAGAAAGAAATAATAAAAAGAAATAATTATATTAATTTATTATATGATGGTTCTCTTTTATTAGTTTTATTATTTTATATATGAGGTTTTTTTAGTCCTGTATGCCGCCTTGAGTTGCCATGTGCAAATAGGCGGCAATATAAATTTCCTAAAATACAATAGTGGCCAAAATTGTGGGAACCTTTTGGGAAAAGTGTATTTTTGATGGCTAATAACACCACTTTTTGAGGGGGAAGTTTCAAGATAATCCTATTCCATTGCTGGAATGGCCTGGGAATTACCCAGACCTTCACCCAATGGAAAATCTATGGAGCCGACTAAAGAAACTTGTTAGTCAGAAGCGACCCAGCAATAAAACCCAGTTAATAGAAGCCATCATTCCATCTTGGCTTCACATAACAGCTGCAGAACTAAGACTCGGTTCACTCCATGGGAAGACGTTGTAAGGCCATCATTCATGCTAAAGGTTACCCAACTAAGTATTAATTGACATGGTGATCATTTTTGTATATCTCATTTTTTTCTACGTGTTTTGCTTTTCTTCTTTATGCTGTAACTGCTATTCTAATAACAAATCCTTCATAAAATTTATTGCATTACGTTCTTGATTAAACTATCTTTCCATTGATATATAATTTTATGGTACTACTCCAAAAACAAAATGGTGCTATTAGCTAGTTTTAGAAAATACGCTTTTCCCAAAAGGTTTCCACAATTTTGGCCACTACTGTAAATAAATAAAAGCCAAACAAAAAGTAAAGAAAAACACCAAAACACCTCACCAGAAATCAACACCCAGATGAAGAGAGATCAACACCAAACTAGACCAACAAATGAGAAGTAAACAATACCCCAAACAAGGAACTACCAATGCAGACAACCAAGCTAATAGTAAACCACAGCCTAATGAAAGAGCCACCAAGACGATCCCACCAACACTGATAAGGCAAGCCACTAATATGGTATCTAAAAATAACAACAAACCTCACCCCCTTCTAGCACTGATGACATTACCCAGTTTGGTAATGAAACGTCTGTGAGAAAATAACCAAGCTCAGAGAACACCGAGGACCCCACAATCCAACCCTGAGCTACAAGTATTCTCTTCTATCAGTATGATGAATGACCCTCCTGGTAAACTTAGTTTAAACCATCATTCACTAATCTTGGCAATCGTGTGGATTCCAAATTCCAAAATTCCATAGCCAGGATGGCCATTCATGAAAATTCTGGGGATTGGAAGTCTCCATACTTGGAGGTGGCCAAGTTTGAGAAACGAGGGTTTAACTTTCAACCGTTCGGAGAGTTCCAGGTAAACTTTCCTTAGGTTGAGCTTCAATAGTCAGTAGAGGGCAGAATCGGGGTGCAAGGCTGCTTGCCACATGCTTAGAAGTTGGGGCGTTTGACGGAATGCACAATTTTTTCCTTTAAGAAGTCCATTTAAATATCCCTATTGTGATATATAATAACAAAGTTGGAAGGGACCTTGGAGGTCTTCTAGTCCAACCCCCTGCTTAGGCAGGAAACCCTACACCACTTCAGACAAATGGTTATCCAATTTCTTCTTAAAAACTTCCAGTGTTGGAGCATTCACAACTTCTGGAGGCAAGTTGTTCCACTGATTAATTGTTCTCACTGTCAGGAAGTTTCTCCTTAGTTCTAAGTTGCTTCTCTCCTTGATTAGTTCCCACCCATTGCTTCTTTGGATAATAGCTTGACTCCCTCTTCTTTGGGGCAGCCCCTGAGATATTGGAACACTGCTCTCATGTCTCCCCTAGTCCTTCTTTTCATCAAACCCAGTTCCTGCAACCGGTCTTCATATGTTTTAGCCTCCAGTCCCCTAAATGGTTCATGGGTCATGTGTCTTTAACCAAAGCAAAGCCACTTTTATTGAATGTTGGGTGATTTACCCAGCTTTGGTGAAGCACTGACTTAAGGCACGGAGTGGTACCCGCTGGCATTTTGGTAAAGGCATAGGTGCAGGGCCCAGCCAGTCAGTTGGCAATCCTGCCAGGCAAAGGCTCCAAAAACTGCCTCTGCTTTTCCAGGGTCCTTCATTATTATTATTATTATTTTTAATTTGATTTATATGCCGCCCTTCTCCGGAGACTCAGGGCAGCTTACAATGTGCTCAGCAATCGCCTTCATCCTTTTGTATATTTATACAAAGTCAGCTTATTGCCCGCACAAACTGGGTCCTCAATTTACCCACCTTAGAAAGGATGGAAGGCTGAGTCAACCTTGAGCCTGGTAAGAATTGAACTCGCAGTAATTGCAGGCAGCTGGATGTTAAATGCTGCCTTAGGAGGCATTAGCCTCCCACGCCACTCAGGCTCCTATTCATTCATCCATTCATTTATTCAGTCATTCATTTATTCAATCTGCAACCAGCCTGCTCAGAGAAGCCAAATCTTGGCTCCCCCTCTCCTCCACCGGCTCCCTCCCCAGCCCCGTCCGAGGCGCCCCTCGGTCTCCTAAAAAGTGCTAATTGGCCTCCTGGGGATCCGAGAGAGAGAGAGAGAGAGACCCGCCTACAAAAGCTGTGCGCAATTAGGCGCTTAGGAGGGGCGCAGGAGGTTTCGCCTCGCTCCAGGTCGCAGGTAGGAGCTGGGGAGACACTTGGCTGGAAAGGGAATCAGGTGCGAGGCGGTTTCAAGTCGTCCCCTGTGCATTGGGTGGGTGTGCTTGTGTTATCCCCAAGAAGCAGCCTTTCCTGACACCCCTGGGGACTACAATTCCCATTCAGCTGGCTGCCTGGTTGGCTAGCTGGCTGGCTGTTGTAGTCCGCCGCGCGCGTGGCGGCTTCTGGAGCAAGGCTACCTTGCTAAAGCTTGCCAAGAATTTAGGTAGCAGGTGCTCCGGATCAGCGCAAAGGACTTCGAAGGATTGGGGTGCGCGTGTCTCTGGGCCGAGGGTGCAGGGCCGGGAACCCCCCCCCCCCCCCCCACCGTGTTTCCCCCCCCCCCACTGCTTTGGGAGTGCGCGCGCTATAGGGCGCGTGGGACCCCAAAACTTGGATACCCTCCGAGATCCATTTCTGAGGATCTGTTCTACAAGTATTGCTGCGCCCCTTTCCTTCTCCAGATCCTCCTCTTCTCTGCGTCCTCCCAGGCCGGTTGTTTTATCCTAGTCTTTCTCAAACCCGAGTAAATGATCCCCCCAAATGGGGGAAAGTTGCTTTTTCTTTGGATAAGGCAGGAAACTCTATATTACCCAACAGGGGCAGGCATTTAAATAAGGATTTAAATAAGGATTTTGAAGGAGATTTCTTCCAACAGAAGGGCACATTTTTGGGGAAGGGGCGTTTTGCCGTCTCCTCTGCTGCTTTCCTCCCACCAGTTTGAACCCATTTCCCTTAAGCCACAATTCTCTCGGTTGCTTTTCTCTCTAGCCAGCATTCGGGGTTCTGCTAGAAGCAAGGTTTGGCTTGGAAAAAGAAGCTCCGTTTTGGCTACAAGGTGCTTTTTCAAAAGGCAACTGGACTTCGTTTTTTTCTTTTCTTTTTTTCTTGAAGCCAAACATCTTCAAGGGAAAAAAAGTCCAATTGCTTTTTGAAAAAGTCCCTTTGGGATTTCTTTGGGGCCAAGTTCAACTTTCAATGGCTTGAGGACCTGGCCTTGCAATTGGCTTGGAAGGAGCTTCTGGTTCCTTTTTATTTGAGATATTTTTTTCTGTCTCCAATTTTGGCAGTTTCTTAGTGGCCTCCCATCCCTGAATTAATCTGTTCTCTTAGCTTCCAAGGCTAGCCTTTGGGGAGGGAAAAAAAAGGGGGGTGGGCTTTCTTACATAATCCAGAACAAGGGTCTCCAACCTTGGCACCTTTAAGACTTGTGGACTTCAACTCCCAGAGTTCCTCAGCCGGCTTTGCTGGGAGTTGAAGTCCACAAATCTTAAAGTTGCAAAGGTTGGAGACCCCTGATCCAGAAGTTCCAATTCTTGGGCTCAAGTCTGCAGGGCTGTTGGTCATGCTGGCTGAGGAAGATGGGATTTGCAGTCCAGACAAGCCTGAAGGCCACTCGGGTAGGGAGAGAAGTTTGCTGTCCTTGAACAGATCAAACTGGTTTGCGCATTGCGATGGAAGGTGGCTTATGCATTCACGTACAGTCTAAAACTTGCTAGTTAGGATGTTTGGGGCTTGCAACAAATCATGGTTTGTACAATCTAAGGGGGGCCCAACCAACCAAATACATTTGAGTGTTGTGAAAAAACCCCAAAATTGAGTTATTTGGCTTGGAAGGGGACGGGCACAAAAAGGGAATTTAGGAGCTGTACTCCCAATTTGATTCAGGGGGAAGAATATTCTGGAAAATTGCACATCTGCTCAAATAACTTGACTTCCTGTTGTTTCACAGTGAAGCAGCCATGTTGGGTTCCTCTGCTACAGGATGCCAAGGGACAGGATCTCAGCCTGCAGACTTGCCCTTTGCCCATAGAAGAATTTTATGTCCTCTTCCCAACTCAGTAAGAGTTGCCAGAAGTCCAAGGTGGCCCATTCTCTTCGCCATTCTTCTTCTTTTCTTCACCACTGCCACCAGCAAGGAAGATCAAAGCTTTTTAAATACAGTTTCTGCTACCGGTTGGCCAACTGGCAATGTCACGGCCATCTCTGCTGAGAAACCCACAGATCTTGGACACACCCAGGGGGCCCAACACAAAACAGACTTGTCTTTTAGTAGGTTAATTAATCAAACTGGTGTAAGTCAGAGAAGTGTCAGCCAGCTTCATACCTCTCTTCCCCGACATATCGATGCTTTCAGCAGTGACAGAAAGAGGACCAGAAGTTCTTACTCAACATCAGCCAGCGTTAATTCAATGGGTACAAGTCTTCAGGATCTGGTTTCTTCTACTGGAACAGAGTCTCTTGGCACCATGGAAGGAAGATCAGTGTTTCTCCCATCAAGTAGTGAAGGAACAGCTCAGAACTCTGGTGCTTCCAAGTTCTTCAGATCTCGTAGCAATAACTTCCCAGGTCCCACTTCTATTCCATCTCATGTGGCAAGCTCAAGAAAGGCCCTCTTGGACCAGGCGACTACATATAATGAAGACTATGATACTGCTCAATTGGCTGCTACCAACCCCCCAACAGATGTCACCATTCATGTAACTCAACCTCTCTCCTCCCTTTGGGTCTCTGCTAGATACCCAGTTGAAACCACTGCTCATGTTGCTATGCCTACATCTGTCATCTCGACAAGATTGCAGTCAGACGAGACCACTGGGGTTTCTACTCAGCAGCAAGTGGAACCTCTGAGCCTCAGTTGGTCTTCACGTGGACCCATCTCCAGAAGGATTGAGCCCCGTGAGGTTTTTCCTCCGTCAACTGCAATTGCTAGATCCCATCTTGATCCAGAGAATCCCACAGCAATCCATCCTTATGAAGAAAGTGTCACAGCCTCACCGCCTATCCATAGCTTAGTTACAGTGGTGAGTTCTTCAACCCAACAAGCGACAGCAGATTCCGTCTTGCAGGGATCTCAACAGCTTGAAGTCAGTTTCATGACGCCAATGACAAATTCCAGTCCATCAGACACATCTACTGTGGAAGCAGAGTTTTCTCTTGACGTGGCTAATAATGAGAGCGATTGGATGGTGCCAGGGTCTACTGATACTATTCCTACGTCTGTAGCCGAGACACCAAGACACCAAGTTTCACTTGAAGCGACACAGCTTGCTTTTGCAACTGCAACTGTTGGCCTTCTGAAGGAAACCAATCCTTCTCTTGAACCCCAGAGTTCTCTGCTGAAAGAACACATTGAAAGCTTTCCAACAACTCCATCTTTTGGAACTTCAAAAGAAGACGAGGTCTCCTTGGTTTCTCATAACATACTAAACAGCTCCCTGGTGGAAGCAATCAAACTGGAACCAAAGGACAACACTTCTTCCATAGTTGAAGGCTTTGTTGGTCCTACAGTGAGCTCCATCTATGGGCCCATCTCAAAAGATGGAACGGATGCAACCAGTGTTGGTGTCAGTTTCTTGAATCATCAGACTTCTTCCCCACTTAGCACACTGCTTTCTGGAAATGCTGAAACTGGGCCCCGAGTTTCCTTTCAGATTGATCTGTTGGAAACTACAGCCCATGCTACTGATTACAGGAAGCCATTAGAGACCCAATATTATGGAAGAAAGAGACAGATCTCAGCAAGTATGAAAGAGATATCTACCTCAAAGTCTCCTCTAACTGCTATGGAAACTGATTCAGTCAGAAAGCTGACCAATGTTCAGCCAGTAGATGCCTTGCCAAAGAGGGGAACTGGAGCTACTCCATTATCTCCTCGAAGTTCTACCACACCTATGTCCAAGATGTGGCAAACATCAAAGGAGTCTTCTGAGCCTGAGACAATTACAGATTTCTTGGTGACAAAGGTATTTAGTCTTGGTACTACGAAAAACGACTCTGCTGTTCCATCACTCCCATATTTAGATATAGGAGATGTTCTACATCCAATTGGAGCAACCTCAACTAGACTGATCTACACTGATCTTCCAGAAGGACACACCACTAGTGCTTCTGTGGAGTCTTCTGGCAGTCCTTCTGTTGAACAGAAGCTTCCCAGTCCATCACAATCTCATCCCACAGTTTCTCTTCCAGGTTTGATAGAATTTGATGGATCTTTAGTCACCCCATCCCACCACTCTTTATCATCAAGCATTACCTCCATTCCCTTCTCTACAATCAGTGCTCCCGAGTCAACTTCGAAAACGTTTATCAACATTACGGAGGGCCAGCTAGTTAGAAAAGGACACCAGGTCACAGGTACCTCCACTGCAAATAATATACAAACGATCAGCAGAACAACTTTGACCATTCGTAGCTCAAGATTCACCACATCCAGTAATTCTGATGTTCTGGCATATCCATCGTCTGTCCTGGAGACCAAATCCAACCAGGAAACTCCTACATTTTCTGCTACAACTACGCTGTGGACCACTCAAAGAACTCTTCCAGTTGAGTCAAAAACTACTTGTAGGAACATCTCTTGCCCAGCGAGTATCTTCACACCACCTCAGAATATATCGGCTCAAATCATGACTTCCCAACCATTCTTGACGAAAAAGTTTTTGAGCACTATCTTAGGGACGGAGGCAGCCAAGAAGCACGTGACCCTTGCTGAGGCCAAGGTGTCCAGATCAGAAGAGAGAGACACAACTACATTACCCAGAACAAAAATGGTGACTGGAGTCCAACATGATCATTCTTCACAGCAGCCCAGGTCCGAATTCACCACCTCACCGTTGAACCCGTCAGTGAAGGAGAATTTAACCCTGGGTAAATTCATTTCAACTGTTCCAGCAGTGCGTATTCTGTCTTTGTGGTTTCGTCTCCTCAAAATAAATTACACAAACGCCTTGATGAACAAGTCTTCTGCAAGTTATAAGAAACTGGAAAAAGAAATTAAATTAATAGTAAGCATTTTCTTCCTTCTTTACTCTTCCCATCCTGGAAGTAGGGTATGATGGTATTCGGGAAAAAATTGTTCTTGTGTCTAGTTCAGGGGTCTCCAAACTTGGCAACTTTAAGACTTGTGGACTTCAACTCCACAAGTTGAAGTCCACAAGTCTTAAAGTTGCCAAGTTTGGAGACCCCTGGTCTAGTAGTTCTGGTGTGCAGTGCTCAATAGCATCGTTTTGAGGGTAGGAGTTGAAACAATTTATGTCCAGGATGTGAGGGGTCCCTAAATATTTTCACAGCCCTCTTTTAAGTGTCTTTTCTGCATATAGGAACTCTGAAAAAGACACTGGATGGACCCCGCCTTGTGCCAACTGGAATGTAGCACCATCCTGGTCTACCCTGAGGTCCCATCCCTGATTTCTCTGGGCTTAAATACATTTCCATGTAGGAAGGTGATCTGATTTAAGGCCTGAAGATGCTTGCCAAAGAACATTTCCAGGAGAGATTGCTTTTCTTGGCAGGCGTCTATCAATTCACCCTCCCTTTTAGAGAGGGACACATCTGTTCATAATAACGATAAGGTTGAAGTCAATGACATAATTCTGGTGGGGTCCTTAATGCTGAGAAATAAATAACAGTCTGTGCATCAAGGTCAGTACAGGAGATTATTAAAAGGTAATTGACAGCATGCAGAAGCAAAGGAGGACTATATATGGGGTGATATGAGATCATAGGTTGTTTATGCAAAGTACCAAGGGAAATGTGGACCACACCACTGCCTCTCATCTTTTGTGCATGAACGCAGAAGGTTGTGAATGCAGCGGAAGGGAGAGGAGAACGTCTATGGAGATTCTCAGTCATCCAAGGTCCCGGTTGTCCCCAAAGGTGCTTTTTTGAAGAGGCAACTGGACTTTTCTGGTTTTTCTTTGAAGACTCGCTTCTCATCCAAGAAGCTTCTTCAGCTCTTGACTGGATGATGGTAGGGAATGGAAGGATTTATATTTCTTGTAGACAGCTGGTCCTTTGCATCCTTGTAGAGAGTCATTGAGGCCATTTGGAAGCTTGTCTGTGTCGCCCTGAGGAAACCCTTCCATTCCCCACCATCCGGTCAGAGCTGAAGAAGCTTCTTGGATGAGAAGCAAAACGTCTTCAAAGAAAAACCAGAAAAGTCCAGTTGATTCTTGAAAAAGCACCCCTGGAACAAGGGAGAGGAGACATAAATAACCAAGAGAAAGATGGGATGTCCACTGGCAGCTTAGCTTACCATTCCAGACAAGTGGCTATCTAGTCTCTTCTTAAAAGCCTCCAGTGATGTAGCACCCAGAACTTCTGAAGGCAAGTCTTCAGAACTTAGTGAACTTGCTATTAATAAGGGTTAGAAATATAATTTCCATGCCTTTGTTTACCCCAACGTTAACATTAAAGAGACCTTACTGAGATTTGCAGCTCTTGCTTTCTTGATCTTGTGGCCACCATTGCAACAATGTTGGTTGTTGAATAAAGAAAGAGAGATTGCACAATATGCATGGGTGATCCATGTCGAGTTTTCTCTACTGGCTTCCTACATTCTTAACGTTTTTCTGGGCAAAACTGCTCTTTAACAATCTATTTTAATGTTCTGCTTCCAGTTAAAGAAGATGCTGTCTACCTATGAGAACTTTCTGCATGCAAGGGTTCTGCGTTTCTGGTAAGTATGCTGCCAAATGCATCACTTGGTTTCTAGGCAGGAAGAGATCCATGGAATTAAGGAGAGAACGGGGGTGAAATCCATCAGGTTCTGCAGAACCGGTAGTGAAAATTTTGAGCAGTTTGGAGAACCGGCAAATACCACCTCTGGCTGGACCCAGAGTGGTGTGGGAATGGAGATTTTGCAGTATCCTTCCCCTGCCACACCCACCAAGCCAGGTCCATAGCACCGGTAGTAAAAAAATTTGGATTTCCCCACTGGGATAGAAAGGTATGAATTACCAGTATGGAGATTTGATCAGTTCTCTGCCCTGTCTTGGTTTCTGAAAGGGATGCCTCTGAATTTATTCCGAGCTTCAGAAGAGCTCATGTGCATGTATAATAATAGCCCTTTTTCCATTGGTTCTTCTAAATTGATTTTGCATCTGTGTAGAATTCCCCCAATGGAACGCTTAGAACAGAAGTTCTGAATCGGTTTATTAGATCGATTGCAGATTCAAATCAGTTGGATCATTTGGAAAAATACGTTAAATCTACCCCATCATTAGTCTTGTCTGCCCATGTAGCATGAAAGATGGAGTGATCCGTGCAGAGAGTATTCTTTTCAGAGATTTTCTGTTTTGGACAATGGCACCAATATTTGAGATAGAACCATAATAACGCTTTGTCCAACATAGAACCCTTCCAGTGGTTGCATCTAGAAGTCCTGGATTGCTGGCTGGCAATTCCTGGAGGTCTAACATGCTGGGAATGTGTTAGTGTCTATAGATGTTCTCTTGAATTCTGTCTCATAGGGATGGATCTGTTGTAGTGGAGAGCCAGGTGATCTTCCGGGCAATGGGCCTTTTTCCCACCCCTTCTGACGTCATACGGACAATTGTGACAAATGTTGAGAGCCGGAGAATAGATGCCTTTTTTGACTGGAGGATAGATGTGAGATCTTTGCACTCAAATGGTGAGTCACCAAGCAACCGGTTTTGGTCCAGTTGACATGATTTAACCATTTTAGATACTTTTGGCCTAGGATAATAGAACAACAGAGTTGGAAGGGACCTTGGAGGTCTTCTAGTCCAACCCCCTGCCTAGGCAGGAAACCCTACACCACTTCAGACAAATGGTTATCCAACCTCTTCTTAAAAACTTCCAGTGTTGGAGCATTCAGAACTTCTGGAGTCAAGTTGTTCCACTGATTCATTGTTCTCACTGTCAGGAAATTTCTCCTTAGTTCTAGATTGCTTCTCTCCTTGATGAGTTTCCACCCGTTGCTTCTTGTCCTGCCCTCAGGTGCTTTGGAGAATAGCTTGACTCCCTCCTCTTTGGGGCAGCCCCTGAGATATTGTAAGACTGCTATCATGTCTCCCCTAGTCCTTCTTTTCATTAAACTAGACATGCCCAGTTCCTGCAACCGTTCTTCGTATGTTTTAGCTTCCAGCCTCCTAATCCTCTTGGTTGCTCTTCTCTGCACTCTTTCTAGAGTCCCCACATCTTTTTTACATCATGGCGACCAAAACTGAATGCAGTATTCCAAGTGTGGCCATACCAAGGCATTATAAAATGATATTAACACTTCACGTGATCTCAATCATCTGGATGATTGAGTCTCCATTTACATAAACAATGGGCCTAATTAAGGAACTTAATTTCCTTCCTGCAACAAGGCAGTAGCAAACTTCATTTGCTTACTGAAATTTATTCATTAAGATTTATACCTATTGGTTGATTTGTAATTGATTTGTAATGGGAAGATGCTTCTGCTTGTAGATATGCTTCCTAGAAATTGTCCTCTGTTTTCCTTAGGATTCAGCTTGAAAAATCTAGAACCTGAGACGTTGGCTGTATTTTTCAGTCTCCTGGAACTGGGGTCCATATCAGTCTTTGATGACAAGAACTTTGTCCAAGAACACTTGGAAAGTCTGAAGATTGAGGTAATGGAACAAGGTCCTTGACTTGACGAGGCCTGGAGAACACATGATAGAAAAGAGGCCCATTGTAGATGAGTTTAGCCAGTCCTGCTTGGTTAAATTAAATGAGTAGGTTTCACCAATATTTGGTCTACTGCTTCCAAATTAAGATCTCAGATAATTTTCCTTGATGAACTTCTGTGCCAGGAAACCTTAAGTTTAATGAAGTGTTAAGTATGTTCCAGGATTTAGGGAAGGATGAGAAATTAAAGAACTTGCCCATAAAGGTCTCTAAGTATTTTTCTGTTGAGATGCAGAGTTAATCCTTAACTCCGCAAACTGAATTTATGATTCAGTGATAACAATAATTTCTTCATCTCATACAGATGAAACTGTTGCTTGGAACCCGATATGCAGTTCCTTTGATCTCGCTGGTTGACAATCGGTACGTAGCAAATTTCTGGGATGGATTGATTCTTCCAAAAAAAAAAACAGTGGGCGGGACATTTTTCAGGCTAAAACAGATTAATGGTTCATTTCAAACTGCAAAAAATAATATATATATATATTGCTTGTAGTCAAATGTATATCAAATGCTGAATTTTCACATCTCCTGGAAGTTAAGTCAGAGTCTTAATTAACAGAAAGTAACCTAATTTTTCTCGTACAGAAATACCCAAGGTGGCATTGACATAAATGGAAATATCTTCATCAAGAGCGATTCTCATGTGGACATTTACTGGATTCTCAAAGCACTGATTGGACTTTCAAAGTTCTCTGTGGACCTCATCTCACTCTCCATCAATGGTCAGTAGCAGTGATGAAATCCAATTTTTTTTACTACTGATTCTGTGGGCGTGGCTTGGTGGGCGTGGCAGGGGAAGGATACTGCAAAATCTCCATTCCCACCTCACTCTGGGGCCAGCCAGCCAGATGTGGTATTTGCCGGTTCTCCGAACTACTCAAAATTTCCGCTACCGGTTCTCCAGAACCTGCAGGAACCTGCTGGATTTCACCCCTGGTCAGTAGGTACAAATCCATGGCTGACTTTAGGCCTGAGATTGGGTTCAGGTGAGGTACCTTTTTCCTTAAGTGCAACTCTCTGCTTCTAGGTTCAAAGCTCAGTCTCCAGGTCTTCCCAGTTTCCTTCTTGATAACCAACCGAATATTCAATGAGAAGATGTTGGACCGTTCTGCTGTAGAACGTCAAAACATTGTAAAGGATCTCTCTGGAACAGTAAGTGAGATGAACGGTTGCTGGAAATCCAAATTCATCTTTTGCTAAATATGTTGAAAACTCTTCTTGGTGCTTGTTATTATTAAAAGATGTAGATCTATTCTTATTTAAAGCAGTAAAGGGTATATAGATTATAAAGTCTGATTTTCTTAGGTCTATGCACTGTTCTTTTCTAGCAGGGACGGAATGATGGATTGTTTCTGGTGAAGGAGGATTGTTCAAGTTTTTCACCTCTGCAATATTTGTGATAATGATAAATTGGAAGCTGTAGGTTTCTTAAGCTTAGCAACGCGTAGGAGTTTCAGCTCTGGATAAGCAATTCAAGATAATTCTTTTTCTTTTAAGATTCCCACGGTGTAAGGCAGGGAGGTCTCCAAACATGGCAACTTTAAGGTTTATGGACTTCCAACTCCCAGAATTCCTCAGATTCCATGCTGGCTGGGAAATTCTGGGAGTTGAAGCCCACATGCCTTGAAGTTGCCACGTTTGGAGACTCCCCTGCCAAGTTGGAACTGGACTAGTCTAGAGCAGGAATGATGAAGGATGTAATAGGTGAAAAGGTAATGAGTAAGGCTTTTAGGATGGGGACACGGTGGACATGATCGAAAGTTCGGCAGTTCAGCAGTTCGAATCCCTAGTGCTGTGTAACAGGGTGTGCTCCCGTGACTTGTCCCAGTGTCAACTTGCAAAGCTTTCAAGTTGCCATGAGCAGGAGGGAGGGAGAACTGATAGAGCTGATTGATTTCCCTAACTGAAGTGCATGCCATACATTCTTCCTGACCGCAATCAGCAGGAGGGTGTTGGATTTCACAGCCAGCCAAAGTGGTTAATTGGAGAATGTGATTTATGACATGGCCAGAGAGGAGGGGAGAGACAGGGTCATAGGGGAACGTAAATCTACGTGGGATTAGTTCTAACTGCATCCGAATATTGCCGAAATGGTGCTCCTCATAAATGACTGTATTTCTTTTGAAGTTCGGCTCATGGCTCATGAATTAATTAGGGCATCTTTTGGAAACTTTACACCCAGCTTCTGCCAATTTAGCAGTTTGAAAGCACATAAAAAAATGCAAGTAGAAAAATAGGGTCCACCTTTGGTGGGAAGGTAACAGCATTCCGTGCGCCTTTGGCATTGAGTCATGCCAGCCACATGACCACGGAGACGTCTTCAGACAGCGCTGGCTCTGCGGCTTTGGAATGGAGATGAGCACTGCCCCCTAGAGTCAGGAACAAGGGGAACCTTTACTTTTACCTTTAAGGCTTTTAGGATGGCTCTGATCTGGGCTCACCTTGTGAAAATGATTGCTTTCCAGCTTACACGGATACTTGGCAAATACGAAAATCTCCTCCAAGTGGCAATCCGTAATATCACGTAAGTGAATTGAATCGTCTTGTCTTTCATAGCCTGCTTATTAGATAGCCCGTTGCTGATGGCACCGGAGATCACTTTTCTTCAATTTAGCGTCTGTCTGTTTGTTTCGATTACAGTTTGCCAGTTAGTAATTTGGCCATGCTGGCATCCAGCCTATTTGGAGAACTCCAGGGGCCGGCAACCTTAAAACACTCAAAGAGCCACAAAAGTCCTAACCGGAAGCCCCCCCATTCAATTCTGGAGCCAACTGGAAGTCCAGTTCCCCCACCATAGAGACTCCTCTTAGCGCAGCATCCTTTCTCCTCTACCTGTCGTAACTGAAAGCCCTATCAATTGTAGAGCTGACCGGAAAACCGTCCCCTTGCCATAGAGTCTCTTCCTAGTGCGCCATGATTCTCTCCCCCCCCCCAACCAGAAGCTCCTCTCAAAATTGTGTTGCTGACCGGCGACGGAGCCGCAGCAGAGGGATGAAAGAGCCACATGCGGCTCCAGAGCTGCGGGTTGCTGACCCCTAATATAGACTCTTCTTTGAGTCTAGCATGAAGCCATAACGTTTTTTCTGGAAACCAGCAACCTTGGGGGGCCTCTATAGAAGCTGGGCTCGGAGAACTGAGTCGTAATGTGACTTCTGGATGTTGGGTTAGTGCAGTGGGTGAACCTAGCTGGTTACTGTGAGATAAGCAACCTGGGTTTTAACATCAGGTGTGAACCAGATCAACCTTCTTCAGCCATGTCTTTCTCTTGCATTTGTAGAGGCGGCGTTTGTTACGGAGATGTGGTATTTCAGCAACCAGCGCCAAGCAACAAGGACGTTCTCCAGACTCTGGCGTTTTCGGTCGATCCAAAGGATTACTTAGATTCCTCCAGTTTTCAAGTGGATCGGTTCTCCTTTACTGTGGCAGGTAGGACTTCAGTTGGACCTCTTGTTCTAAGAGGAAGCATCAAGTGTCCTCTGAACACAATTTGGGACTACAACTTTCACGTCTTCAAGCCCGTTGAAGCCAAGGGATTCAGGCTCTTGGGGAAAATGCTCGGGTGGGTTGCTTTGCAAAAGGTACAGTACAGTAACAGAGTTGGATGGGACCTTGGAGGTCATTTAGTCCAACCCCCTGCTCATGCAGGAGACCTGTACTAAGGATTCAAACGGCCGAACCACCAACTTTTCTGATTGACAAGCTCAGCGTCTTAGCCACTGAGTAGAAGACGAGAAGGAGAAGCTGCAGATCTTCATGGGTGTTACGTTCCTGGCTTTGCTTCCCATTGGAAATTGCCGCTGGGCATTCTTAACCTGGCAACTTTGGGCAGGCTGCTTAATCCCCTCTGGGATAATACGGCGTGAGGTAATAATGGAGTTTGCCATGGGCATATTGTCAGAGTTTGTTGCAGCACACACAATCGGACACATTCAGCAGGATTCAAATTATAGAAGAAACTTCTTTATAGACAACACCATAACAGCAGAATGGAAACCTCTTTCCATTCCCACCTAACCTGACTCTATCGCGTTCTAACTTCCAACCATTGATAGAATCTATTCCGTATAGCACCGTGTTCTGTATCCCCTTTATCTTTTATTTTTAACGTTAGTCTGTCCCATTTCTGCACAGACCAGTATCTTCCTTATTGTCTCTTCTTCTGAAAGGGTGTTTTCGCTCTCTTCCACTGCTTGACTCCAAACTCTCTCTTATGGTCCCATACAAATGAAGGCTATGTTTCAGTTTCAAAACAGTCCCCATTGGCTAACCTGTTGCCATGTCTATTCCAGCTATCAATGTTTATACTCTCGACACATATGACCCGATTTAACTCCTTTTTTTAATTTCTCAGGTGCTGGGCTGAAGCCTTCCTTGAAAAAACCAGGTGTCCCTGTCTATGCTGTAGTCCTCATCATTATGTTTCTCCTTGCCGTAATTGCTGTCCCCACCTTCCTTTGGCTGGTAAGAGCTGCAGCCAGAGGTCACTTAATCAAGAGGTTTACTCCCTTGCTGGACAAGGACCTCGTAAAACATCTGTGCTCTGCTTCTCTCCACTCTCTGGGTATGGTGGGGGTGGGGGAAGGAGGGCTGGGAGAGGCCTTACATCATCCCTTACATCTGATTGCTCTCATTCAGGTGGTGACTAATTTTAATCACTTTTAATGCAATTCTTGCCTTGGGAGTTTTCCTGAGGCTGACATCCCACAGGTTCAGCTAGAGAAGTTTCTTCAGATTCACATTCTGAATCTTGAGGTCCTAAACTTGGTTGAAGACATAGTCTAAGCAGCTTCTTTGGTTGCCACAAGATTAAAAAAGATGTGGAGACTCTAAGAAAGGGTGCAGAGAAGAGCAACCAAGATGATTAGGGGACAGGAGGCTAAAACATATGAAGAACGGTTGCAGGAACTGGGTATGTCTAGTCTGATGAAAAGAAGGACTAGGGGAGACATGATAGCAGTCTTCCAAGATCTCAGGGGCTGCCCCAAAGAAGAGGGAGTCAAGATATTCTCCAAAGCACCTGAAGGCAGGAGAAGAAGCAACGGGTGGAAACTAATCAAGGAGAGAAGCAACCTAGAACTAAGGAGGAAATTCCTGACAGTGAGAAGAATTAATCCGTGGAACGACTTGCCTCCAGAAGTTGTGGGAACACTGGAAGTTTTCAAGAAGAGATTGGACACTTGCAATCGCTCTCCAGGGCTCCTTTTCAGAACTCCAAAAGAGGTCTCTATCTTGTTACAACTCACATCTTGCTTTGTTCTTTCTTTTCTTTGAAGCCCAAAGCGCTTGCTCGGCGTGGCAAAATCACCATCAACAGAGGATCTGATGCAGGAATGGATATAGAAGCATTTGAGTTGGATAATCCAGGATATCAAGCAACTGTTGGAGAGGTAGATTTGAGATGTGGGCAGTGGTGGAATTCAATTTTTTTTTACTACCGGTTCTGTGGGTGTGGCTTGGTGGACGTGGCTGGAAGGATACTGCAAAATACCCATTCCCACCCCACTCTGGGGCCAGCCAGAGGTGGTATTTGCCGGTTCTCCGAACTACTCAAAATTTCCGCTACCGGTTCTCCAGAACTTGTCAGAACCTGCTGGATTTCACCCCCGGATGTAGGGATTGTTTGCAAGCAGGCCCTTGCAGGAAAAAAATCTAACAAGATCTCTGGTCCAGGGGTCTCCAACCTTGGCAACTTTAAAACTTGTGGGCTTCAAGTCCCAGAGTTCCAGAGCAAAGCTGGCTGAGGAACTCTGGGAGTTGAAGTCTTAAAGTTGCCAAGGTTGGAGACCCCTGCTGTAGTTTAACCGGGCTGGTTTTTACTTTTTACTGGACTTTTTGTGGAGATGCTAACTGTAGATATAGTCCTCGACTTACAACAGTTCATTTAATGTCTGTCCCAAAGTTCACAATGGCCCTGCAAAAAAAGTGACTTTATGACTTTATTTTCACTCTTGTGATCGCAGCCTCTCCAAGGTCATGTGATCAAAATCCAGGCGCTTGGCAACGGACTCGTATTTATGAAAGTTGCCGTGTCCCGCGGTCACGTGATTCCCATTTATTTATTTATTTATTTATTTATTTATTTATTTGATTTGATTTGATTTGATTTATATGCCGCCTTTCTCCGGAGACTCAGGGCAGCTTACAATGCGTTAAGCAATAGCCTTCATACTTTTGTATATACCTGCTTAGTAGGGCTTTCGCGCCCCCCCCCAAGCGGTGTTCTTTTTTATACAAAGTCAGCTTATTGCCCCCACAATCCGGGTCCTCATTTTACCTACCTCGGAAGGATGGAAGGCTGAGTCAACCTTATTTATTTTATTTATTTTTTATTTATTTGATTTGATTTCTATACCGCCCTACTCCCGAAGGACTCAGGGCGGTGTACAGCCAAACAATAAAATACATTCATACAAAATTTAAAAGTGGAATTAAAATCAAATTAAATAGTTTTGGCCCAGACAAATTAAAACCCCAATCAATTTAAAACCAATTTTAAAATTTGAATATATAAAATACTAAAAAATATTAAAATATTAAAAATTAAAAATCTTTTATAGAAGAGGGAGAAACCTTGAGCCTGGTGAGATTTGAACTCGCAGTAATTGCAGGCAGCTGGCAGCTAAGTGCTACTTAACAGCACTTTAGTCCGCTGCGCCACCAAGGCTCTTCTAAGGTCCTTTTGCGACCTTCCAACAAGCCAAGTCAAGGCTTGACTCAATTGAACAACCGTGTGACTAGCTTACCAACTGCAGTGACTCACTTAACAACGGTGGCAAGAAAAGCTGTAAAAATGGGATAAAAATTCACTTTGCAAATATCTCGCTTAGCAGCAGGAATTTTGGGCTGAATTGTGGTCATAAGCTGAGGACTAACTCCTTTTCCTATAACCCACAGAGAAAGACCAAGGACTCCTGCGTTGGATTCTAGAATGCCTGAAGCAGAACAAAAAATGCAACCATTTCCTCTTTTGTCAATGCCACAATGCATCACTGCACAGTTTATTAGATTGAACTCCCGAGTTTTATCCCGTGAAAAACTCTCTTAAAACCAGGCATGTCAAAGGCAACTGGTTTTTTTTTTTTTTGCTAGGCGCTTTTAAGGGAAAGAAGCTGGGATGCAAAGCTCCACTTTCCTATTTCATCTGGGGGGGTTAGATGACCCATACTCAGGTACTCTCTCCCAAAGCATCCATCCCAGTTTCTTTTATTATAATAAGTTGGATCTTTTAAACGATGTCTTTAACGTATTTCTTGCTGCGCGAAAGAGAACGAAGCGATTCCGTTTTCCCTGTTTGTTTGTTTTTTTTCCCCAGATACAAAAGTTTAACCTTGGGGGTGGGAGGGAGAGGGGAACTGCATTGAGTTAGATTTTGAATTTTGGGGGGGTGGGAGTAGAAAAAAAAATCGCCTTTGGTTTAAATGCCTCTGATGGTTGAACCTGTGTCAACATGTGTACAAAACTGGAACATGTGGAAACGTGACTCTTGCAGGAAACTTGAAGGAAGGTGGCACTGTCATTATTTTATATCGCTCTGTTTTTTTTTTAACAAAAATGTGATATGCTTTGTATGGCTGTGCTGACTGCGAAAAACACAATCCGAATGGCTGGTTGGAGTTGAAAAACGGGAGGATTCCAGTCGGTTCTGGACAATTGATCCCAGTGTCCAAAATGATGGGAAAAAAGACCTTTTTCGGTGCTCGCCGCAGAGTAGCCTAGCAGATTTGGAGACATCCTGTTTTAACTCCCCAAGGGGATGCTATGATTGGATTGAATTGACTCCAAATTAAATCTTTGCAGAATTGGAACACAACACCATATCAGTTCCACATGGCCATTCTGAGCTGAATTTCTACCTTCCTCTTTTTTTGACTTCCTAAAAAATAACCTCCCGACCAAAACTTGATTCTCCAAAGCTGCTTTTTAGCACCGTTTGAACCTTAGAAATCTTTGACGTCCAGTGTCCTCTTTTAAGAAGCAACCAGACCCAAACGGTGGAAGAACCAACACAAGCGAAGTGGATGTTTCCTTTTCATTATTGCAGTGTTACGACGTCGAGAATTGGCAGCACATGTTTTAATTCTTCGTTTTATTCCCCCGTCTTGACAATTTTCAAGGCTCAATTTGTCTTAACTGAGTTCCGCTGCTAGCGGTGTGTAGCTCTCCAGGGGCTGTCAAACTACAGCTCCCATCCTCTCAAGAAGGATGGGAGTTGTAGTCTAAACACTTCCTGAAGTTTCACCGTTGCCTATCACAGGTGCGTCCATTCTGCATTTTTGGGAAAGGTTGAAAGATCCACTTTGCTGAGTTGTAGTTGGTGACAGAGGCGGCCCCTTTTAACTGCTGAGTTTTTTTCATTTTTTCCCCTGGCATTTTACTTCCCTCCCCACCCCCTACTCTTACTTCCTTAGTCTCGCCATCTGATGGACTTTATTGTTTGTTTTAATAGCGAGCAAGTCAAACCTGCCTGGTTACTGTACTCCTTCCAGGCTTCTAGCTACCAAAACGTTTTGTTGTATTAAAATCCAGTCCTGAATAAATTGTAAGAAATTACCTTTGCCTCACACCTTATTTGAGTATCTGGTGCGGGAAGCCATAGATTAGGGCAATTCTGGGAGTTGAAGTCCACAAGTCTTCACGTTGCCAAGGTTGGAGACCCCTGGATTAGGGGAACAGGTGGGATTCTGGGAGTTGAAGTCCACAAGTCTTCAAGTTGCCAAGGTTGGAGACCCCTGGATCAGGGGAACAGGTGGGATTCTGGGAGTTGAAGTCCACAAATCTTCAAGTTGCCAAGGTTGGAGACCCCTGGATCAGGGGAACGGGATTCTGGGAGTTGAAGTCCACAAATCTTAAAAGTTGTGAAGTTTGGAAACCTGTGGTCTAGTGGTTAAGGTACCAGGTTAGACAAGATGGAACATACAGAAAACGGCTGGAGTTTTGACTTATTATACAACTGCCATTTTGACTTATTTGACCATGTAAGGTCTGACAAGCCACAGTGAGCCAAAGAAGGACTCAAAAGGGAGGCTTGAGAAAGAATCCGCATGTAATCTTTGATCAAAGACTGGATCAGCAGTTCCAAATACATACAAAAAGGACACACAAGGAAAAGCCACACACTCTGGTAAACGTGTGACTCCTTTTTATACAGTTAAAACACCAATTAAACCTCCCAATTCTGGCCGCCTAATTAGGTTTGCGTATTCCTTATTGCCCTGCAAAAGGATAGAAGCCTCCCAATTAGCCTTATCGGCGTTTTATCTCTTCCTTGAGCATTCCTTTATTCTCACCATTGGCCCCTCAATTGTGTTGCAGGGAAAGGAACTTGCGCAGATCAAAGGTGTAAAGTTTTAAGGCTGTAGGAGTAAATTGTATGCAACTCCAACCTCAGATACCTGCTAGGGCCTGGATGGCAGGAGAGGAAGAGATAAGATTGATACGGGTTCAGATCAAATGGCAGGAACATATGTTTGACAAATACCAGATACTTTACGGAGGCCTAAACTTTGCTGCAGAAAGTTAGTTGCAGGAAATACAAATATAAAGGCATAATGTAGCATTTTTGTGTTACAAATACAAAGGCATAGTATATCATATATGTGTTACAAGTACAAATGTTTACAGAATAACAAGCTTCTACTAATTCTAGTATTCCAGTATATTATATCCTGGTATTATTTAGTATATCCTTATTACCTTCAACCACATCCTTGGATGGTTAAAGAGAAGAAACCAGCCTGAGCAAAAAAGATGGCAACTCTAAATCAATTTCCCCCTAAACAGAATAACAGAGTTGGAAGGGATCTTGGAGGTCATCTAGTCCAACCCCCTGCTCAAGCTGGAGACCCTATCATTCCAGATAAGTGTCTGTCCAGTCTTTTCTTATAAACCTTCAGTGTTGGAGCATTCACAACTTCTGGAGGCAAGTTGTTCCACTAGTTAATTGTTTTCACTGTCGGGAAATTTCTCCTTAGTTCTAGGTTGCTTCTCTCCTTGATTAGTTTCCATCCATGATTTCTTGGCTTGCTTTCTAGTGCAATTAACTTCATAAACCCCAATTGGCAAGACCACACAAACTTCTAAATCAGATAACAAAACAGTCACTATTCGGTGGATGGGTTCATGTATATTGCTAAACCAAACTATATTTGGGTTTTGGGTCAGCTGGGGAATCTATGTTTCTGTGTGAACTTAATCTGAGCATCTATTTAGACCAGCTTGGCTGTCTCAGGAATTCTGGGAGTTGAAGTCCACAGGTTGTAAAAGAGCCACAATTGCCCACCCCTGATTTAGACTGCTACAAGGCAGCTGGTTAACACGCAACTTATGTAATTGCAGCTCACGTAATTTTATTGCACATCGTCCAGAAGGATATGGGTGTTCTAAAAATGTCACAAATAAATATATAAAAAAAATAACGGCCAACCACTGAAGGCCCTTCAACTCCGTTCATCTATTCTCTTCCCCAAACTTGCCAACATTCCCGTGAGATCAAACATTAAAACAAAATCCATTGGAGGTAGACTGTATTTTAAAAGTTTGAGCGATAGTTTGGGGAAGACTTCACAATGTTTATGATGGAAAGTTGGGAAGCTAAGCCTTCTGCTTTATCTTTGTTGATTAATTGGACGGCGAGACTGTTTAATTACACGGTGAACCTTGGAACGATGTGTTTTTTTCTTTAAACAAACTTAAAAAAGAATCCCAAGAGTTGGGGGTTTTATCTTGTGTTCTCCATGCAGAATGCAATCTAACTGCTCGTATTGTTTGCCGCTGGTTACCTTGAACTTTGAATTCATTTCAAGCATTCCCTTGCTTTTTATGTTTACTTATAGCTTCTGCTCTCTGGGGCTCCAATGTCTACTCTTTATCAAATATTTTAATAGCTTAAGAGTTTGTTTTAAAGTTGTCCGCCTTCGTAAGAAAAAGTTTAGGCCATATTTGGCTCAGTTAGGTGGCCACCCTGAGATGATCTCGGTTAATCTCAAAAGGCAAAGCGGGGTGAAGATCTGGTTGGTATGAAGATGCTACTGGAAGACAAGATAATATTCACTTTTTATCGGTTTAGCAAATAAAGTTAAATTCCTTGGCAAGATTGCCCTCTACTGACGCTTGGTAGTAATGGCTACACACCCCCATTCAGAAATTGAAATCTGATTGGGACATATATGAAGTAGCGAACTGTAACGTATGTGGGAAATGACCTTGCGAGATGGGGAGGAGCCGCAGCCTGGAGAATGGTTGGATAAGAGGCAGCTGGACCCAGAGAAGGAATAAGGGTGTGGAAAATATTTCAAAAACCCATCCTAGTTTCTAGGACGTAAAGGCGATTTGGGGGGTGGGGGGTGGGGGGGATATTTTTTCAGACTTGTGAGATTCTGTTAATGTTAACTTGTCTTGTCTGAACTACCTCACAAGGCTGCCAATAACTTCTCCCTTGTTTGCACTCTTCTTGAGATTCTCTTCTAACCCGTTTTACCAGTGTGGTTCTGGCAGATCGGTGAGACTGTTTCCTGCAGAAAAGTAATGGTTTCCTTGAGTTGGAAAAGAAGAAATGTTAACGTTTTCCCTTCCCCACGTGAGAATTTGTTGGTTCTACCTGCCTGTCAGACCCAACCTTGACCCAGCTTTTGATGGACACGAAGTCAATTCCATCTACTCCAGTTGAGCAAAATGAGCAGAAAAGAGCAAGAAAGATGATTAGAGGACTGGAGGCTAAAACATATGAAGAATGGTTGCAGGAACTGGGCATGGCTGGTCTAGTGAAGAGAAGGACCAGGAGACATGATAGCAGTCTTCCAATATTTGAGGGGCTGCCCCAGAGAGAAGGAAGGGGGTCAAGCTGTTCGCCAAAGCACCTGAAGCCCAGACGAGGAATAATGGATGGAAACTGACCAAGGAGAGATTCAACTTGGAAATGAGGAATTTTCTGACAGGAGAACAATCAACCCATGGAACAGAAGTTGTCTTCAGAAGTTGTGGGAGCTTCATCACTTGAGACTTTCAAGAAGAGACTGGACGGCCTTCTGTCAGAAACGGTGTAGGGTCTTCTGCTTGGGCAGGGATTGGATTAGATGACCTACAAGATCCCTTCCAACCCTATTAATCTGTAAAAGAGTTGATCCTTACTAGCGTAGCTGTAGAATTTTAATTATTTTTGTTGAGGTAATTGATTCCTTCGGAAGCTAAGGAGTGAAAGGCCAAGGTTTTCTCTCTTCAGGCCTCAGTGGGGGAGAACTGTTGTCTTCCTAGAAAGCCATGTTTCAGGACAACAGTCGTCGATCCCCGCCACACCCAGTGAACCATGCATTCTCTATGCATGCCTCCTTCCCTCCATGCTCTAGTCTAGCCAGATGTTTTGGGGCTCTCTGCTTCCCAGCGCCAGGTTTTTGTTCCACCTGGCTAAAGAGTTTTTGGAAAGCTCAACCTTGGATTGTATTCTGGCCTGGTTGCGTTCTGCCCAATTATAGATCTGGCTCTCTTTCTTTCTTTCTTTTCTTTCTTTCTTTCTTTCTTTCTTTCTTCTTTCTTTTCTTTCTTTCTTTCTTTCTTTTTCTTTCTTTCTTTCTTCTTCTTTTCTTCTTTCTTCTTCCTTCCTTCTTCCTTCCTTCCTCCTTCCTTCCTTCCTTCTCTTCTTTCCTTTCTTTCTTTCTTTTTCTTCTTTCCTTCCTTCCTTCTTCCTTCCTTCTTCCTTCCTTTCTTTTCCTCCTTCCTTCCTTCCTTCCTTCCTTCCTTCCTTCTTTTTCTTTCTTTCCTTTTTCTTTCTTTCTTTCTTTTTCTTCCTTCTTCCTTCCTTCTTCCTTTCTTTCTTTTCCTTCCTTCCTTCCTTCCTTCCTCTTCCTTCCTTCCTTCCTTCCTTCCTTCCTTCCTTCCTTCCTTCCTTTCTTCTTTTTCTTCCTTTCCCTCTTTTCCTTCCTTCCTTCCTCCCTCCCTTCCCTTCCCTTCCTCCCTCTCCTCCTCCTGCTCCCCTTCTTTCCTTCCTCCCCTCCTCCTCTTCTCCCCTTCCTCCTCCCCCCATCCCCTCTTCCTCCAGTGCCATGTCTTTTCAATTGGAAGCTCAGAATTAGCTCTGTAAGCTATTCTGAAAGCCGTTTTTTTTGGCTACAGCACGGGGTTAAAAGTACGCACCAATGAAAAAAATGAAACCAGCCTGCCAGAGCCCCACAAGAGCCCCTGCCAGCTCACGATTGACAGTGTAAATGGGAACAAACACTCACAGGAGAACAAACAGTCCTCAGTCCTAATGCGGCTTCCTGGTTGAAACAGGGCTCCTGCCTTCCATGAATGGATCGAAGGCAGCCTCCGTCCCAATCGTGGTCATAAATCGAGAACTTGCCCGTCCCCAGATTTGAAACAGATTTTTAAAGTGAATCCGGCTTCCCCATGGATTGTGCTCGTCAGAAGGTCACAAAAAGGGACCCCAGGGCACTGCAACGGTCATAAATACGAGTCAGTTGCCAAGCGTCTTGAGTTTTGTGACCACGGGGATGATGCGGCCACGGTCGTAAGTCTGAAAAGAAAGTGGCCCCGAGTCACTTTTTTTGCAGTGCCATTGTAACTTCGCAACGGTCACTAAACGGACTGTTGTAAATCGAGGACTCTCTCTACCTGCATTTACGCCTTAGCTTACATTCTGGATCTCTCTCTCTCCCCCGATGCACAGACCTGCGAACGAGCAGCTTTCTGCATTTGTTCAACCAACCAACCAACCAAGATTCAGAAACAAAAGTCTTTATAAAAAGTATGAAAGTGACACATTTTCATTTAACATAGTCTCAATAAAAAAAAAAAGCTGTGGAACCGTTCCCATTTCTGTATAGAGCCCAGGTGCGATGATGAGGCCAGTCCCTCCTAGCGGGCTACACCTTGCGAGAGGCTTTTTGCAGAAAACGAGAGGACAATTAAGCAAGGTGGAAGAGCTGCTACCATCCTGGTTGAAATCAAGACCTGCGAAGGAGAAACCAAAGACAGTGAAGTCTAAAATCAGAGGCAAACGCAGAAATTATTTTCGGATCATGCCAGGCGTCTCTCTTGGAGTGTTGAGGTGGCCTAGAGGTGGAGCTCTCGCCTCACAATCAGGAGGCTGCGAGTTCGATCCTAGGTAGAGGCAGATATTTCTCTCTCTGGACATACTGAGAATATATATCTGCTGAACAAAACTCCGTACTATTGACAGGGAGGGCATCCGGCCAGTCATCATTTTGCTCCATTCAGTTGCCCAGACTCTACCACGCAAGGGATTATGGCAGTGATGGCTAACCTTTTTGTCATCGCGTGCCAGGAGCAGAGGGAGCACGAGGAGTCGTGTGTGCATGTGTCCACACCCATAATTCTATGCACCCTGCCCCCATGCATGCATGTGTGACCTCCCTGCTCCTGGCACACGATAGCCCGATGGGCCCATTTTTCTCTCTCCCCAGGCTCCAGAGCCTTTCTAGGAACCTGGGGAGGGCAAAAACGGCCTTCCCCACCCCCCCCAGAGGCCCTTCGGAGGCCGAAAACGGCCTGTTTGCCAACTTCCGGTTGGACCGGAATTGAATGGAGGTGATCCAGTTTGGGGAAGCTAGTCAGAAAGCTTTACTGGATAAGATCAGTGATAAGGGGGTGGAAGGGAAAAGGGCAGGGAAGAGATCCATCTCACTCATGAAGATCATCTGCTCTGGGAGAAGATGACTTCAGGCCAATAAAGAGTCCCAAAATTTTGACAGGTTGTTCGTTCTTGGATCAAACTAACCCTGTCTCTCCTAACAGTGAACCAGATTTAAGATGACTTGTCCAAGCTCTGATCCCAGGACAATGGAGGACACATTTGTTTCAAAGAGTCTCATGGTGGCCCTCTCAAAGCTGGACCATCCTGCAAAATAATTGGACTCAGCCTTTCCATGCTCCCAAAGAGAAAGTTATTCCAGAGGCTTACTGGGAGATTTTGCAGTTTGTGGTGGCCACAAAGCGCCCGGTGTAGTGAACGTTGCACCTTACCACGTTGTTGGTGAAGTCTGATTCCATCACAATGTATTTGGGATTTACCTGAACCTGAAAGGTTGAGGGAAGGTGAAAAAACAAATCAACCTCTTTGATACAGAACTGGGAAGAAGGTAAAAGTTCCCATACCAACCAGCCAACCAATCAACCAACCCACCAGCCAACCCACCAGCCCATCCACCAACCAATCAACCAATCAACCCAGCCAACCCACCAGCCAACCCACCAGTCAACCAACCAACCAACCAACCAACCAACCCACCAACCAATCAACCAATCAACCAATCAACCAGCTAACCAGCCAACCCACCAGTCAACCAGCCAACCAGCCAGCCAGCCAGCCAGCCAGCCAACCAACCAACCCACCAACCAATCAACCAGCTAACCAGCCAACCCACCAGCCCATCCACCAACCAATCAACCAAACAATCACCAGCCAACCCACCAGCCAACCCACCAGTCAACCAACCAACCAACCCACCAACCAGTCAACCCACCCACCCACCAACCAACCAATCAACCAATCAACCAATCAACCCACCAACCAATTAACCAACCAACCAACCCACCAACCAACCCCCCGACCAATCAACCAGCCAACCAACCCAGCATCCAACCAGCTTCTTAGATAGGAAGGGCACATCGTTTTATCCCTTGGTCTGCTCATCAGTGTATTTTGGCCCACCCTCATGAAGGGTGTCTATAGGGCAGCAGTTTTAACTTCAATGACTTTAAAGATGCGTGGACTTCAACTCTCAGAATTCCCTCGTCAACCAATAAGTTAAAGATGCTGAGCCTGAGAGACACTGTGGTAGGGCATGATTTAAAAAGTTGAAATGAAGACCATGATGCTGCGATTGAAACTCTGTCTGGCTTTTATGGGTGTTGCAACACAACCTGGCAGAGGTTTGAAAGCACCATTGCATCTGTCATCTTGACGTGTCTGACTATACTGTTGACACCCCCAGGCCCTCCTTTTCAACAGCCACTTGAACTGGACTTCTCACTTACAACACAGTCTTTACTTCCCTAAAGAATAGCGAAAGCAACATTTGGGGAAGATCAACATTTTGTGGCGCACCTTTAGGATATAATTCCCAGGCTGAACATCTGTGATATCGATCCACTGGCAATCTATATCAGCATTGTAAGTGTCATAGCAACCGGGACTCAGACCCTGGAAGAAAAGAAAAACGTGGCTTGAACCGTTAAGTGGATAATTTAAAAAATTTTGGGTTCAAATCTTGATGACATTTTGAAAGACTATAGTTGTCGGACTGGGAAAAGATGCTTGATGGGAAAATCAGCATGACACAAAGAGAATTAGATCTTCTCCTCATCCTTCTCCTTCTCCTCCTTCTTCTCTTTCTCCTTCTCCTTTTCTTTCTCTTTCTCCTTCTTCTCCTTGTCCTACTACTCTTCACCTCCTTCTCCTCCTCCTCCTTCTTCTTCTCCTCCTCCTTCTTTATCCTTTTCTTTCTCTTTCTCCTTCTTCTCCTTCTCCTACTACTCTTCACCTCCTTCTCCTTCTTCTCCTCCTTCTCCTCCTCCTCCTTCTCCTTCTCCTCCTCCTTCTCTTTCTCCTTCTCCTTTTCTTTCTCTTTCTCCTTCTTCTCCTCGTCCTCCTACTTTTCACCTCCTTCTCTTTTCTCCTTCCTCTCTTTCTTCTTCCTTATCCTTCTCCATCAAGGATAGAACCAAAGACTAGGACTTCAACTGCTAAGCAGCTTAATTCGATCTTCAGACTACACACACACAAACACACATACACATACATTTTGGCTAAATATGGAAGGGTTTGCAGCCTCTGAAATCCCCCAAGACTGGCCTGCTCAGATTTTGCAGCAAACTACCCTTTTTATGTAGCACAATTTTAAACACTTACTCCCAAACACGTGTGCCTAACTCTAGATAACTCTAACGCACCTACTCTAAGTAACCCCATTGATTCTTCAAAACCCCAACAGTTGGGTCCAAAATGTCAGCCTTGACTCTCTAGTAAATATCATCATATTGCCATCGTACCTCCAGAGGTCTTGGAAGTCAGAAATACTGGCAAAAGAAGGCATTTCCCCATTTCTCAGTCATGAAGAGATTGTCTTTATATTAATTTGAGATTACTGAGAAGTGAACCCACCTGGGTATGTGATGTACAGGCATAGCGCTTGAGATTCCCAAAGTCGCATGTGGTGTCTTCCAGACAGAAGCTAGCTTTGTGGCCTTCCGCCACCTTCTTCCCCGTGGTAGCATCCAGCAAGTCATAATGGCTGAACTCATCCATACTGTGATAATGCCTGGAGAAGAGAGGACGATTGCTTAGAAGAAACTAAAATCAGCTGCGGAAAGATTTTTGCATGGGAAGATGCCCACGGGTTCTGAATATGAATGCTACGGATGACAGTCAGAAGGTGGGTCTACCTTCCATCTCATTCCTGAAGCCCCGATTTCCATCTTTGGCCTGCACTACACGGCAGTGGTGGGTTTCAAATTTTTTTTACTACCGGTTCTGTGGGTGTGGCTTGGTGGGCGTGGCAGGGGAAGGATACTGTCAAATCTCCATTCCCATCCCACTCCAGGGGAAGGATACTGTAAAATCCCCATTCCCACCCCACTCCAGAGGAAGGTTACTGCACGAACCCCCACACTCCCCCCACTTTTGGCATGTGATGGCATGGTGGACCCGTTTTTCACTCTCCCCAGGGTCTGGGGCGAAAGTGGCCTTCCCTACACCCCCCAGAGGCCCTCCGGAGGCCAGAAATGGCCCATTTGCCAACTTCCAGTGGGACCAGAAAGCCCATTTTCTGCCTCCAGAGGGCCTCCGGGGGGGTGGTGGGGAAGTCCATTTTCACCCTCCCCAGGCTCCTAGAAAGGCCCTGGAGCCTGGGGAGAGCGAAAAACAGGCCTTCTCCACCCCCCCAGGTCCTCCGGAGGCTGGAAACAGCCTGTTTCCCTACTTCCGGTGGGCCCAGAAGGCCCAAAAAAACAGGTGGCTGGTGCGCGCATGCACGCCGGAGCTGAGCTCACGTGCCCACCGATATGGTTCCGCGGTTCACCATCATGGTGCTAGGTGGTGAACAACCTTGGGTTAAGCCGGTTGGGCGAATTCAACAAGAACACCACACGTTTTCACACATCGTTTTCTGATGCTGAGAGACACTTACTGATGGCAACTGTGCCATTCCCAAGTATGACGGGCTCGGTTGGGCAAGAAGTCCGCTGTCCCCTGGTTCTTTACTCGCTGCGGGAAACGCAGTAGCACCCGGACATCGTAATCGGTCGCTTCTTCTGTGTAAGCCGTGCTGGATGAAGATGAAACCGAGATAGGAGAGCAAGAATATAACTTTGGTGCTCAACTGAATCAACTTAGGAGGTCTAGTCATTACAACGCTGGCCTTAGGTCAAGAAGATCCAAGCTTTCATTCCATTCTGGAGTTCTTTGGGTGTCTCTGGGCTAGCTGCTCCATCTCTCATCTTCCTATTTCAAAGGGTTCATGTGGTGGGGTTCAGAATGAGGTGGGATTCACTTACCTTCCCTACCGTTTCGCAAGCGCTTGCGCATTACATCCGGGCGGGTGGGCGGAGCCGCCCGCAGTCACCGCTATCGCTTTGAGGAACCGGCTGAATCCCACCTCTGCTCAGATGGAGAATGGGGGCCCATGGTTCAGTTCCCTTGAGCCAGGGGTGAAATCTATTTACCTTCCCTACCAGTTCGGAAGTGCACTCCCGCGTGCACACACATCATGTGCGATTTTGGACCCTCTGTGCAAGTGCAAAGCCTTCTGAACATGTGCAGAGGGTCGGAAACAGGTTACTGTCCGGTTAAAACAAGGAAGTAACGATGTCCGGGTGGGTGGGAGGAGCCTCGTGCTGCCACCACTACCGGTTTGCTGAACCACCCACCGCTGCCACTACCAGTTCGTCTAAACCGGTGGGACGGTAGCATTTCACCCCTGCCTTGAACCCCCTGGGCAAAGGAGAGTTAGAAATGCCATTCACACCTGAACAAAGTGGAAGGTTGGGTGTAGGGTTGGCCAATTTTCAATCTGGAGCCTATAGCTGTTGATCTTGTGTCATCTTGTTGTTGAACCCCATGAATTTTTTTGTTTTTAAAACTTTACAACTTGCGAATTTTTTCAGGTAGATGGAGTGATAGTTCAATGGAATTATAGCTAGAATGATAAAGATGTGGAATGATAACGGACAGATGACAGGATAAATAAATAGATCAATAGAATTATAGCTAGAATTATAGATAAAACCTGGAATGATAGATGACAGATGATAGATAAATAAATAGACCAATAGAATTATAGTTAGAGTGATAGATAAAATTTGGAATGACAGATGATAGATAAATAAATAGATCAATAGAATTATAGCTAGAATGATAAATAAAATCTGGAATGATAGATGACAGATGACGGATGATAAATAAATAAATCAATAGAATTATAGATAAAATAATAGATAAAGATCTGGTATGATAGATGATAGATAAATAAATAGATCAATGGAATTATAGTTAGAATGATAGATAAAATCTGGAATGACAGATGATAGATAAATAAATAGATCAATAGAATTATAGCTAGAATGATAGATAAAATCTGGAATGATAGATGACAGCTGATAGATAAAAGACAGAATGACAGTTGAATTGATAGAATGATAGGTAATACATCTATGATAACTTACTGGTTAGTGTGGCCGGCTTGATTTTTTTTTTTCTTATAAACATCGCTCCTAATTTGTTGGTCTACCACCCAGAGATGCTGTCGGTAGCTGGCTTGGCCATACAGGTTGAACAAATGCACGAACAAATGAATGAACGATTAAGCACAGAAGTGAAACATGGAAAGGGTTACCTTGCGAGGCACTTCTCTTCGGCTGCGCAACGGAGTGAGTAGAGGTGAGCTCTCTGAACGTAAGTGGATGCTTGGACATAGTTTGGGTCAGGTACAAGATCAGGCAGCCCTAGAGAGGGAAGCAAGGATTGGGAAGAGCTTAGAAAGTAGGATGAAACCACATCCTTGACAAGAAGAGCTCAGGATTCAGTTGAAGTCCAACAGGGTTTTTTTTTTTTTGCTGGCCTGACTTTCTAAATTCTCCAGAACAGAAGGCCATCCTTCTATATCACTCTTACCCTGACTAGGTGGCTCAGTGGCTAAGACACTGAGCTTGTCCGATCAGAAAGGTTGGCAGTTCGGCAGTTCGAATCCCTAGTACAGCTCTCCTACCTAGTACAGGTGAAATCCTACCAGTTCAGACCGGTTCGGGCGAACCGTTAGGGATTATGAGCATCAGTTTGCCGAACCGGTAGTAATTACCCCTCCTTGGCCCCAGCCGGTTGCCGTTGACCTCTTCCGGTTGCTCAATATTCTACAGAATTCAATGTTAAATGCAGCAGAGAGAATGCTAACTTTTCTCTCTGTTGCAGACCGTCCCTTTAAGGTAGACTTTTTACTTTTTTAAGGTACACATAGACTTTTTAAAGCTTCCCATCCCTCACTTTTCTGTTCTTCTCTGTAACTTTGAGACGTCCTTCCTCAAAGCACATAAAGACACCCCCCCCAAAGGGGGGTCTCCTTAAGAGAGGCCCTCGCTAGGCACGAAGAGATGCTGACAAGACACTTTATTCTGTTTTTCTACCCCCCCCCCTCAACATTTGTCTGAAAGGGAAAAAAAAAAAGAACTGAGCCAGCAATGCAAATGAGATTAGCCAAGCGGCTGGATCCCAAAAACTCTGCTGTGGGTTTTTGACAAGCGCTCCGCGGCCCCCCTGAACGGTTTTTCCACAAGCAAAAAGTTAAAAAAAGAAAAGAAAAGAAAAAGAACAATGCCTTCTTGTTTTTCCGAACCGATCTCCACTGAGGGGATCACGTCACCGGTTTAGCTCTCGTTTCCTGTCTCTCTCAATTGATAAATTCTGCTGATGTCAGCCACGAGGGAGCCTTACTTTAAGAGGAGTCAAAGGAGATTTGGAAGGGAGGTTGGGGAGGGAGGGGGAAAAAAAAACCACAACATTTTGGATTGGTTTGAGTAGAGAGCTGCCTCCACCAAAATATAATAATAATCCAAAGGGAGACTTTTTCTTGAAGCACCTGAGACTTCTTCCATTACAGTAGTGGCCAAAATTGTGGAAAACCTTTTGGGAAAAGTGTATTTTCTAAAAGTAGCTAATAACACCACTTTTTGGGGGGAGTAATACCATAAAATTATATATCAATGGAAAGGTAATTTAATCAAGAACGTAATGCAATAACTTTTATGAAGGATTTGCTATTAGAATAGCAGTTACGGTATAAAGAAGAAAAGTGAAACACATAGAAAAAAAACGAGATATGCAAAAATTATCACCATGTCAGTGAATACTTAGTTGGGTAACCTTTAGCATGAATGACGGCCTTACAACGTCTTCATATGGAGTGAACCAAATCTTTGAGTTCTGCAGCTGTTATCATGTGAAACCAAGATTGAATAATGGCTTCAATTAACTGGGTTTTATTGCTGGGTCGCTTCCGACTAACCAGTTTCTTTAGTCGGCTCCATAGATTTTCAATTGGGTGAAGGTCTGGGCTATTCCCAGGCCATTCCAGCAGTGGAATAGGATTCTCTTGAAACTCCAAAATAAAATAAAATAAAATAAAAATGGTGTTATTAGCCATCAAACCTCAAAAATACACTTTCCCCAAAAGGTTTCCACAATTTTGGCCACTACTGTAAGTGTCTTGGAGGGATGCTTACAACTAGGTGAGCTGAAACTTAGAACATACTGTCTTTCCCCGAAAATAAGACCCTGTCTTATATTTTCTTGAATCCTGACATAAGTGCTTGGCCTTATTGCCATGTGCTCAAAAGTCCGATTGGGCTTATTCTCAGGGGATATCTTATTTTGGGGGAAACAGGGTAGAATAATGGGGTTGGAAGTGATCTAGTGGATCATAGAAATCATAGCATGGAATCAAAATCAAGTGAAGTATTAGTGCCACTTTATAAAAGCTTAGCAATATCACACCTGGAATACTCTATCTAGTTTTGGTCACCACACTACAAAAAAAAAAAAAAAGATGTTGAGAACTTTGGAAAAAGTTCAGAGAAGAGCAACTAAGAGGATCGAAGGCTTGGAGATGAAAACATATGAATAGTTGCAAGATTTGGGTTTTTGCTAATCTGGAGAAAAGAAGGACTAGGGAGAGCGTGACAGCAGCGTCTCAGTATTTGAGGGGCTGCCACAAAGAAGAGGGGGTCGGTCAACTTATTCTCCAAAGCACCGGAAGGAAAGACAAGAAGCAACGGATGGAAACTAACCAAGGAGAGAAGCCACCTAGAATTAAGGAGAAACTTCCTAAAAGTGAGGACAATTAACCAGTGGAACAACTTGCCACCAGAAGCTGTGAATGCTCCAACACTGGAAGTTTTTAAGAAGAGACCGGACAGCCACTTGTCTCAAATTCTATAATGTCTCCTGCTTGAACGGGGTTGGACTAGAAGACCTCCATGGTCCCCTCCAATCTGAATCTGTGGACATCTGGGCACGTTAAAAGCTAACCTGACTAGGTGGCTCAAGCGGCTAAGACGCTGAGCTTGTCGATCAGAAAGGTCGGCAGTTCCTGGTTCGAATCCCTAGTATATGTCTCCTGCGTGAGAAGGGGGTTGGACTAGATGACCTCCAAGGTCCCTTCCACCTCTGTTACTGTTAGCGTTACTGCTTCTTCTCAGGCAGAACGGACAGCTGCGATGTGCTTAGCAACCTTATCTGACTTGTTTACACTAGAAAGATTTCCCTCCAGGAAGACGCTAGAGAGGGAATTCCACAGCGGACAGAACTGAATTGCCCAGAAGAAGGAATTTTGCAGAGGGGTTGGTGAATTTCAGTGCACCAGGAAGGATGGAGAGTTGCTGTGAGGTTATCTCACAAGCGTGGCCCCCCTCCTCCTCCCCGCCGACCAAGCCAGGGTTTAGTAAGTGGAAAGCAGAAAGGGAGGACGTGTAGTCACCCCAACGCCTACTCAGGCATGGAAAGAAAAAAAAAACACACCCCAGTGGGACACTGAGGCAGGAATGCTAAGTGGAGCGGTTGCTAAGTGACTGTACATATACAGGAGTGCAAGGGAAATAAATCTAATCAGAGACATGTGGATGGAGCCAAGGCAGGCGGTTAGCATCTGTTGGTCATTTGGTCAGCTGGAGGGGTGGGGTAGGGGGGAGGCTGATGGGAAAGAGTGGGTGGGTTTAAAAAGCTATAGATTGCTTTATCCGAGGCCTTCACTTTATCTCAGACCACCGCCTCTTAGGGGAGGTTTCTCCAGCCGGTTTCATCAAAAGCGGAACAACAAACCCAGGGAGTCTGATTCGCCCCCCCCTCTTTATGCTAAGCGACAAATCACGTTTTATTTGTGCAAACCACAGCTTTGGGGCAGTCCGCAAACGGAGCCCACGGCTTAGTTTAGCTTTCTGGGGGGTTTTTTGGTTTTTTTTGGGTGACATGTTTGGAGTCAGGGAAAATTTAAAAGGAGGAAGCGGGGGGGGGGTATGTGTGGCACGTAATGGTGTCCTTTCTGAAAACCACAGCAGGTTTTCCTCCAGAAAGGAGATTGCCCAAGACCACAAATTGAAAGTGGCTTCTTCTGTTTTAAAACATTTCACATTGCCTTATATTTAATAGCTTTTATTCTGGGGTGTTTTTTTTTCCTTCCTTCCTTCCTTCCTTCCTTCCTTCCTTCCTTCCTTCCTTCCTTCCTTCCTTCCTTCCTTCCTTCCTTCCTTCCTTCCTTCCCTCCCTCCTTCCCTCCCTCCCTCCCTCCTTCCTTCCTTCCTTTCTTTTTTCTTATCTATCTATCTATCTATCTATCTATCTATCTATCTATCTATCTATCTATCTATCGTCTGCCTGCCTGCCTGCCTGCCTGCCTGCCTCTCTCTCCCCCCCCCCCCCAATCTATCATCTCCCTTAAAGAGAGGCTATTATTGGTGGGAATAACAGCCAAACTAAGAAAACATACAATGTTTTTATTTGTCGCTAGAGGGCGCTAGAATACTGAAACTGTCTCCCCCACCATGGTGTTATTGTATTCTGGGTTGATGGGGGGGGCGGGGGGGGGAAGCGCTTTTTAATTAAAACAAAACAACTTTGAAAAACTTTCTGTACTAACTGAAAGCCATCTCTGCAACTTTCACCCAGCAGCAAGATTGGAAAACAACCTTGGGGTGGGGAGAAGAAACATAGCGGGTGAGAAAACACGCAAAGGTGCATCTAGCTGGGTAGAAAGGGTATGGATGAAGGTGGGTAGAGATGGGTGGGAATGGTGTGACGGATCTGAAAGGTATCCAAGGAAAACGTGAGTGAAGAGAACCCCTGAAGAGAACACATAATACAAATTGGAAGGGACTTTGGAGGTCTTCTAGTCCAACTCTCTGCTCAAGCAGGAAACCCTACACCATTCCAGACAAATGGCTCTCCAGTCTCTTCTTGGAAACCTCCAGTGATGAAACACCCACAACTTCTGGAAGCAAGCCGTCCCACTGATTAATTGTTCTCACTGTCAGGAAATTTCTTCTTAGTTCTAGGTTGGATCTCCCCTTGATTAGTTTGGCGTTCCTTACTGGAAGACATCTGGAGAACAATGGGCAAGGAACGCATTACTGGGCAAAGCAGGAGGTTGGTAGATGATTGAGGGATGTGAGAACTCGAGGGGACCTTGTGGACCTCGTGTTATTCTCCTGTAGTTTAGCGTCTTCCAACAAGGTTCACAATTCATAAAGGGACTATTTTCAGGAGAAAAGGAGATGATGGTTCACACCACGAATCTGATCTACTCAACCTTACTTACTCCAACAGTTGTCAAGTTTCCGAAAGATGCTCTAATTAATTCATGAGCCATGATCCCAACTTCAAAGGAAATATAGTCATTTATTAGGAGCACTATTCCGGCAATACTCGGATGCAGCTAGAACTGATCCCACATAGATTTACATTCCCCTATGACCCTGTCTCTCCCCTCCTCTCTGGCCATGTCATAAATCACATTCTCCAATTAACCACTTTGGCCGGCTGTGAAATCTAACACCCTCCTTCTGATTGTGGTCAGGAAGAACAGTCCTGAAATTTTGGGCTAACAAGGGAGTCCATCTACAACTAGGATGGTATTGGGAAGACTTTGGAAAATGTCTGCCATGGGAAGGTTGCCCAGCTATAAATCTCGAGGATTGTGTTGACCACTGAGAAAATGGAAGGGCAATTAAATGCAAAACTAATTGAAATAAGGAAACAGAAAAAGATGTGTTTTCTTGATGGAGAGAACCGGCATTGGGCAGATTGATATCTATAGAAACCCTACTGGGAGACTCCAACTATGAGATAATGATTGTGACTAGCTCAGATATGATGATAAGCTAAGCTTCAATCTTCCATAGCATGCAGGATTTCAACCCATGGTTTCATGTTTTGCTTTGGAAAGCAACAGCTGGCCATAGTTTGTCCATACAGATGTTATAGTTAAAAACATTAACAGAGGTTAATGCAGACATGAAACGGAAAGAAAGCACAATAGACTGTGATGAATCTTCTGAGGAGCGCTGCCTTAGATAATTTTGAATAGGCCACCACCTCCTATTTCTAGATAAGATAATCTAATTCTCTTGATCCCTCAGTCATAACCTCACAATCGATACCAAAGCTACAAGTGGCACAAAGAGACATGGAAAGATACATGCTCGGCATCACAAGACAAGATAGAAAGATCTCCGCGTGGATTGGAGAACAAATGAAAACATACGATGCTCTCAAAAAGAGTGAAATGGAAACGGGCTGGTCGCATAGCAAGAAGAACTGATGGCAGGTGGACCAAGGCAGTGATAGATAGAATGGATCCCAGGGGATCAAAAGCATCCACGAAAGAGACCTAAAACAAGATTGACTGAGGATATCAACAAGTGTTTTGGGCCCAATTGGCAAAAGAAAGCTCAGGACCGTATTGGTTGGAAACAATGCAGAAGAGGCCCTCATCCTGCAGCGGATAGACAATGGCTAAAATGATGATGACGATTCTTTTGACCATCATTACCCTGGTATTGAAATCACCCATTTGGGTTCTCTTGACCCAAAAAGAAAGCTAAGGAGTCTACGTTTTGCCCCAATTTTGGGACGCCACAAAATCCCACAGTAGATTATCCCCTCCATCCCCAACACCAAAAGCCCTCTTCCCATAGTCAAAGACTCACCGCGTCCGTTCTGATTCGGTCTGTAGATGCTGCCCACACTCAGGCGGCCTTGGTTGACTCCTTGGTTGTCTGGAATCAACTGGGGAGTTTCAGAGTTCCGGATAGGAAGGTAGGGCTCAGGCCGAGGGACCCCATGGGGGTCTAAGGGCCGGAAAGGAGGCTGGGGTTCCACGTTGCGAGCAGGAATGTAGGGTTCTTCGGGAACCTGCCCAAAAGGAGGATACTGCCTCGCCCAGGGCTCGTTCCCGTAGCTGGTACCAGCGTTGGCAGGCGATCCAGAGTGGACATGCAAGTTATCTGCAAGAGGGACTCCTTGCCCCTGGTTCTGGGTGGACGGGTAGGAATCTGGGACATTATGGTCAAAACTGGTTCCAGTGTCATGGTAGAGACTGTGGGAATACCGTCTGTCTAAGCCATCCGGTGATGGGAGCTGTTGGGCGGAAGGCACGTACGGTCTCTCCTGGGCAGGGGCGTAGGGTTGGGGTTGAGCTCGGTAGGGATTCTGGTCCTCTGTATAGTCTTCGTACCTCACTCTGGGTTGAAAAGGGTTCACCACTCCAGCGCTGGCTGCGGCGGCTGCCACAGCACCGCCCCACGTCCCGGTGGTACGGTAGTAATTGTGGCTCTCGTCGTACGCCCGGGGCACCTGCGGGTCGTAGGTCTCGTACTGGTTGGCGTAAGGGGGCTGAGGGTAGGAGCCCTGTGGGTAGAGCTGTCCAAACGCGACGTACGAAGAGGAAGAGGATGCAGCGCCCACTTGCCGCTGGCGAGGAGCGCCTGACCACGGACGATGGGAGTTGGAGTTGCTGTCTCCAGCGGTTCCATCTCTCCAGTTGTCTGGTACCTGCCCAAAACCGAAGGGGTGCCTAGTGTGTCCCCGGACTGTATCAGATCCTGACCTGATGGGTAAGGTTGGCGCTTGTCTCCGAGTGTTCCCTGCAGTCCGTTGTCCTTGGTTAGTGGCGGCGTCGGCCAACATCACTCTGGCGCTGCTCTCGGCTCTTACGTGGCTGGCCGGGACGTACTCTGAGCCGGAGTTCAAGAGGCTGTACAGCCTCCCGTTATTCTCCCACTGGATCATCTGCCTCCAGTGACCATTGTCCCCATTGCCCTGTTGAGCGTACTGTCCACGGACCAGCAGGAATGCGACAGAACCCACCAATACCCAAAGGTCCCAGAAGCCGTGAGTTGTCATGTTGAGGCCGAGATCAAGAGGGTTGTCTTTAGTGGATGCTCTTCGGAGCAGGAAAACACCTCCGTGAAACAGCCCAGGGCCCAAGTTCTGATGACTGGCTTCTTCCCTTCTCCGCTTCCCTTAGCAAGCCGCTCTCAACGCTGTCCATTCCTCGCTTCTGCTAAGATGCCCCAGCAGCCGTTCTCGGCAAACTTCATCTTGAGGTTATGGAGGAAAAAAAAAAAGCCTGCAAAGAATGAGGCTCTGGAGCAAAGGGGAGAGAGAAAAAGAGAGCGAGAGTTAGAAAGTGAGTGACTGAGAGGCAGAGAGAGAGAGAGAGAGAAGGAGAGAGAGAGGAGAGAGAAGGAGGGAGAGAGAGAGAGAGAGAGAGAGAGAGAGAGAGAGAGAGAGAGAGAGAGAATGAAGGGGAGAGAGAGAGAAGAGAGAAGAACCTCAAAAGTTTTTCTTGACTTTGGTCTTCTGTGTGTTGGGTTTTTTTTTTTTTTTACATTGCCTGTTTCCAAAGGAAGTTGGTAGATCCCAGTTGCTGGATGGTTCTGTTCCTGCCTCTGAATGAATAAGCAACCAGCTCTCAGAAATGCTGGTGATGTTTTAAGCAAGCAATCTGCTTCACAGGGTCCTAAAACCAGCCAGTTTTCCTCGGATAGCCTTCCAGCGTTACTCTCTCCCTCGAGCTTGAAAAGAAAAGTTCCAGAAAAAAATTTAGCCGGCATATTTCCGAAATAGGCAAAGAAAGAGCCGCTTCGATCCAAACCGGGCAGCTTCCTTGGGCTTCCTTGGGATCCAGGGGAAGGAAAAGGGAACAGTCACAACTTCCCCCAAGTCAAACCAAACAGTTTAAAGCGTGCACTAGGATTTTAAGCTGGAGAGCTTTGAATGTGCACAGAATCTTGGAAAGCCTGTGCTCCTAGTCCTCAGCGAGGTGCTTCTGCAGAGCCTCCTTCTCCGTCAGATCCAATTTGAACTGAGCTGTTGTGCCAACTCTTTCTCGTGGTGGCTGCTTAGCTCCAACAATTGCTTCCTGTTGGGGCCCTAAGGAGCCCGGACAGGTAGGCGAGGAGTCGGCCACCTAGCCACACCCACCCAGCCGGTCATTAGGCAGATCATATTAGTGGTCCGTGGGATTTAAAATTATGAATTTAGTGGTCCCCGAGGTCCGAAAGGTTGGTGACCTCTGGTCTAAGGTTGAAGCTGTGGGGGTTTGAGGATGTAACAACTGAGTCAGGTAGTGCATTCCAGGCATTGACCACTCTGTTGCTGTAGTCGTATTTTCTGCAATCGAGAAAATTGAGTTTGTATCTATTATTTGCTTGTGTATTGTTGTGGTTGAAGCTGAAGTAGTCATTGACAGGAAGGACATTGCTGCAGATAATTTTAGGTACTACGCTTAGGTCAGACCGTAGGTGGCGTAGTTCTAAGTCCGTGATGGCAAACCTATGGCACGCGTGCCACCTGTGGCACACGGAGCCATATCGGTGGGCACGTGAGCATTGCCTTAGCTCAGCTGGAGCACGCATGCGCGCGCTGACCAACTGATTTTCGGGCCTTTCAGGCCCACCTGGAAACAGGCTGTTTCCAGCCTCTGAGGTGTGTGTGTGTGTGTGTGTGTGTGTGTGTGGTGATGAGGAAGGCCCATTTTTCGCCCTCCCCAGGCTCCAGAGGCTTTCTCCAGAGCCCTCTGGAATGAGCTGCCCCTAGAGCTTCGTCTTAGCCCCGACCTGCGTACTTTTCGCCGCGCCCTTAAGACCCTTCTGTTTCAGCAAGCCGGCCTGGCCTAGTATGAATTTTTTAAAATGTATGTATGTTTTAATTCGCAGCCAAATTTTTACATTTGATTTTAATTGGTTTTAAATTTTATCATTCTATGTGTTTTAATATGGCCGTACACCGCCCTGAGTCCTTCGGGAGAAGGGCGGTATAGAAATCTAATAAACTCAAACTCAAACTCAAAATGGCCTCCCCGGCCTCAGAGGCCCTGCAGAGCCTGGAAATGGCCTGGGGTACATTGAATTATGAGTGTGGGCACGCACGTGCACGAACCCCCCCACACACTTTTGGCACAGGGCGGCAAAAAGGTTAGCCATCCCTGTTCTAAGTTGTCTAAGGCCAAAATTTCAAGCCTGGTGGCATGAGGGATTATTTTCTCGACTTGTGCCTGAATGCCCTCCCTTCGCCTTCCTCTTGTTTATTTGCTTCTCTTCTGTTTTGGAACAGCAGGTAAGCTTCTCCAAGTGGGTTAGATTTCTAGTTGGATTTAGTTCAAGGGCAGGGAAAGGGTGAATCAACAGCGGAGCGTTTTCCAGGGGGAAGGACGAATCAATAACATCTTTCTTAAACTCAAAGTTGGGCCCTACGATGAGGTACCGTGAGATGAACCTCCGTGGCTGCCAGTTTGCAGACGTGCAAAAGTGTCGGCTTACCCACAATATTTTCTTATGCTTTTGAGGCTGTTTCCTGTTGAAGCAACTCGGTAACCTCACTCTTCTTTCTGGCCTTGTCCGCTCTTGAAGTCGATTTCCAATCCAAAAATCTGCTTCGTTTCATTCCTGAAAAGGCCCCTGTTGATTTTTTTTCCTCCCCCCTGCCTAGACTTTTGCCTGCCAATGTCCCAGAAGGGAGCTGAAACAGGCTGCAACTTTGAAGCACGTAATGCTCAGCGACGCGAGAGAAGGGATTCACAAAATGCCACACGCACACACACACACAAAAAGAACTTTGAGGAAACAGGTGTGAGTAAGGGAAAATAGCAGAAGGATAGCTTGGCTGCCCTTCTTTCTCCATTCCCACCCCACTCCAGGGGGAGGATACTGCAAAATCCCCATTCCCTCCCCACCAGAGGTGGTATTTGCCGGTTTTCCGAACTACTCAAAATTTCCGCTACCAGTTCTCCAGAACCTGTCAGAACCTGCTGGATTTCACCCCTGGTTTGAAGGTAGACTACCTAATTTTTTTTTCAACACATAGAAACGACCTGATTACACGGGAGAAAAAAAAACCTATTACAACCAGGTACAGTAGAACCTCTGGTCACAAACTCTTCTGATCGCAACCAAATCAGGTTCTAACCAAAAAATTCACATTTCCACCCCCTGAAGCCAATTTCCCCTTCTGTGCCTTTTTTCAAATTTCCAAAATTAGGTTTGGGTCATGACCAACTTGGGTTGCGACCAAAGTTATGGAACGAATGATGGTCGTGACCAGAGGTTCTACTGTATTCAGCTTGTTCCTTGGATGGAATTCCAAGATCTCACCTTAGGGATACAGGGAACAAGAGAGATCATCCAAGGCATCAGCCACCATAACATGAAGGAGATTTTAAATCAGGGGTCTCCAACCTTGGCAACTTTAAGAGTTGTGGACTTCAACTCCCAGAATTCCTCAACCAGCGAGGACTGACCCAACAGCCTTCAGGATTCTGGAGGGACCGTTGAGGATAGTCCAGAAGTCTCATCGTTGCTGCTAAGAATCCGCATCCTTTTCTTAAACTTCTCATCACCCTGTGTAAAATTAACCCATATCAACATCAAGTGTCCGCTGCTTTTAACTTGCCTTTGGAAAATTCCCCTGAGTCCGGCCTCTCAGTTATGGCCAGAAAGGAAGAGTATATAAATAGTAAGTCTATCTTAGCCTATTTTCCACATTTGGGGGTGGGGGAAGGGGAGCCTTGCTTAGCCCCTTCCGCTCACAAATCCTTGGAGTGCTGAAGTTGCTTGGCCCAATGCAGAAACCCGAGCGATGCAATTTTTATTGTGTTGTTTATATATTGAGGGAAGAGGAAACCGAGCCTGTTGCACGTACCGAGACTTGCTTGGCTTAAATCGACGGCATTGCCTTTAAACACACACAGGCACAAACACACACAGACACAAATGTGGTGGAGAACCCAGATGTCAAGCCCTGAAAGCTAAGGTCCGGATCCTCCAAAGCCTTTTTGGCCCCTTGCGAGCCATCCCACCGTGGGAAGCCCAAGCGCCCGAAAAGCCAACATTAATCGGGAGGATTTTGTGTCTTTAAACTCTGGCCGTGTTTTAATTTATTTTTCCCCTGCTGCTTCCAATTCTCAGCTCAAAGGCTGCAGGAAGGAGGCCAGCTCAGCCAAGTCGAGGGGGAGATTGGGGAAGGCTAAAAAAAAAAAAAAAACAACCCCAACAACCAACCCCCGAGCTTGTGATGGGAAGTTGGTGGACGGGCCACCACTGCTTTTCAAGTTGGATCTGGGAGACAGCTGTCCCTCCGGCCTTTTCTCCAAACAAGCTGAGCCTCAAAGCAGGTCACTCTGCAGCAACCCAAAGAAATGTGTCCTATCTTGGCCTATTTTTCCTAGTTTATTTTCTCCCCCCCCCTCTCCTGGTTCCCCCTCCTTTCCCCCTCAGGGATTGGAAATAGCAGAGCTGATGTCATAAGCAGAAAGCCTCTGCCAGAAATGAAATGTTGGATAAACTTACAGGCTCCACTTCATCCTTTCCTGGCCTTCCCATCCATTTTGATCTTCCCTTCCCCCTCCAATGTGGTACGGGATGAAGCCTGTGGATAAGGGAACTGGGTAAAGGTAAAGGTTCCCCTCGCACATATGTGCTAGTCGTTCCCGACTCTAGGGGGCGGTGCTCATCTCCGTTTCAAAGCTGAAGAGCCAGCGTTGTCCGAAGACGTCTTCGTGGTCGTGTGGCCGGCATGACTCAATGCCAAAGGCACATGGAACGCTGTTAGCTTCCCATCAAAGGTGTTCCCTATTTTTCCACTTGCATTTTTTACCTGCTTTCGAACTGCTAGGTTGGCAGAAGCTGGGACAAGGAACGGGAGCTCACCCCATTATGCGGCACTAGGGATTCGAACCGCTGAACTGCCGACCTTTCGATCGACAAGCTCAGTGTCTTAGCCACTGTGTTCCTCATAAGGAAACTGGGTATATTTAGCCTAATGAAGAGAAGCACTAGGGGTGGCTTGGTGGCATCTCCCAATCCTTCAAGAGCTGTCACAAAGAAGAGAGGATTGGCTTATATTCTCCAAACCACCTGAAGGCAGGACAAGAAGCAACGGGTGGAAGATCATGAAAAGAAGATCCAATCTAGAAATAAGGAGGAAATTCCTGACAGTGAGAACGGTTGATCAATGGAAAAGCTTGCCTCCTAGAGTTGTGGGTGCTCCATCTCTGGAGGTTTTCAAGAAGAGATTGTAGGAGAAGAGCAGACTGAGCTGGAAGGTGGAGTTAAATGTGTCATTGGTTTGGAATCATTGCGTTGCCACAAGAAACCCAAGTGAATTCCATTGATCCTTATCTAGAGCCTATTTAGATTTAATAGTTGACTAAAGTCTTGTGTAAGTAGGTAGCAATAATAAATTCTTTGACTTCCTGGTTATTTGTGCCTGAGAAAGATTGGACAACCATTTTGTCCAAGATGGAATAAGCACTCTTGCCTAGGGCAGGGGGTTGGATTATTAGAAGATCTTCACGTTCCTTTCCACTATTATGATTCTATGATTCAACCAACATGGTTGCTTGGAAAACAATAAAGGTTTGCAAACAACATTCAAACAATTGTCCTTCAATGACAGAATCTCTCGGCTTCAAATCTGCAGATAATTTAAACATTGAGATTGGATCGGATCCAAGCAGGACTAATTCATCTGTGTTGGCTTGTTCCCCGACTCTGGGGACTAGAGACTAACTTGATCATAGGCTGCGGTTCTTTTTACGCCTCTCTGAAGGCGGCCACT